AGAGAGGAGGAGAAGACATCTTTCAGCTGCTGCAGAGAGAGCCATACAGGGGATCGATTCTAGTAATTACCCCCCCAGCGCTGTGCCGATCACCCTCCCTGCCCACATCAAATTCACTCAGCTGTCCGTGTCCCCCATGCTGGCCTGGGCTCCATACAGGAGGTCTGGTGGTACCCCCTTATCCACAGCCATGATTATGTATAATATAATTATCTCTTATGATTCCAAAGTGCCGTCTAGTGGCCATAATCTGTATTATTCCTGACTGAGGTATTTACAAAATACAGCAATATGGACACTAGATGGTGCTTATGAGCATAGAAGATAAGTATATTTCACAGAATAAGGCAAGTACGGAGCTGTGTGGATGCTTGTCACATTCATTCAGGGAACATTTTATACATAGATCCCTGAGTGTGCTCTTCTTTTCTTTTAAAGACATTTCAGTAAAAGTAAATACCTGGTGATCCTGCTAGTTACTAGTACTTCCTTATGTACAGTGTCCACTATATGCAAGGGAATTCTCAATTTGGAGTGTTACCAACCCTGTCTGTACATGTTCCTGTCTTCTCTCTAGGAAAGATGTGTATTGGGCTGGCTTTCTCGTTTAACAAACACAGTCCCACGTGACAGTACTGGATGCCTTGTGGGGTGGCTCCAGCTGTATGATTGACAGTGTTTCTTCTAGTAAGCCTTGCTGTCAGATACTGTACAAAGTTGCACCATGAAGTAGTCTGCAGTATGCATCATGTGACCTCAACAGTGAAAGGAAAAAATAAGTACTCAGTACTTAGACTCTTACCTCCCAAAAAAATGCTAGAAGCTAACTTTTCCCCAGGCTCCTGGCATTTTTCTCTTAACAATGTTTGCACAGTGTATGTGTACAGTCCTAGCTCATTCATGGCATAAGTAGGATGCAGAGAATTAAGCCAGGTCCCGGGAATTATGCTATTCCTATGAGCATGCACAAGACTTAAATCATTAATGGGCACCTCAGTGTCCTTAGTGTCCAAAGAAGGATGGGGGGGTGGGCAGAAATTTGACCATTATGGCAAAGATCTACCCAGTGGAATTTATTTCCACTTTTAATTATATGTTGAGGAGGTAATATATCTTATTATACTGTATACATTGCCTAATTGCATGTACCTTTTACATTGATATGTTGTATTTGGCACTCCCTTTATATATTTGTAAGTACTAATTAAGTATTATACAAAATGAAACCAGTTAAACCCCAACATATAACCATAAATCAACTCTGCGAAATGTTGTGCACAACCCCTGGTCACCAAGAAGTCCCTTTCTCCCCAGGAAGTCCAAAATAAATGAAAGTATCTTAGCGTCCTATCAAAAGGAAAGTACTCAACAAGTGACCCCACGTGACTTCTTTATTCTTCAAAGTTTGTATGTTCTCAACTAGTAAATCTTGCAAATGATGATTTCCTCTTCCTCTTTAACCCTCCAAAAAAATACATATAGACCGCACATAGTGCATTACCTTTGTCTCACAGTGAAAATAAAACTACAAAACTCTCACATTTAAGTGCTCATAACCAACATAAATACCACCAAGTGTAAGCCCATGTGTGATATCCGTAATTGTTGTTCTTACCCTCTAGGGTATAAATTGCTTTCTCAAAATAAATTCCCAAGACGTGAATACTTCTTCCACAAATCCTCCTTATAGACAACCGTTTCCTCCAAGAGATTAAATTGCATAATGAGATATTATACGTGACTTCCAAAATGTGCCACACAGTGCTCCCTTGTTACCAGGCCACTGACCACCAATCTCGTGAACTCATAGATACTCTACCACCATATAATCCATGCACCTTACCCAATAGCAAAGAAACCAAACTGTGAGCAATTGGACTCCTCGTCAACCAATATCACTTTTATCTCTCCGGTCATAGATATCAAGGCAATAATATTTATTATATAAAATAGTGCTTACAACTGTAGGGTGTACATCAGTGTTGGTACAAATCAAAGGACCAAACCTCTTCCAAAATGGCCACCGCACAACTTCCCGCTTTGCGTGTGATGTCACTCTCTGACGCGTTTTGTCATTACGACTTTATCAAAGGACTTTGATAAAGTCGTAATGACGAAACGCGTTACGGGGAAATCAGACGTAAAGTCATGAGCAGCCAGGCTGGTTCTTTGCCAATCTTTGGGTTCCCGATGCTGGCATGTTTGCGAAGGGAAGCTGGCTGTGACTGCTTGCGGCTTTGCAGATGGCCTCCCACTGCCACACTGCACTGTATGAATATTTTCGAAGGCCTGTAAACACATCCCAGAAGGTTGCAGGCAGGGGGGAGGACTTTTCTTAGGCGATTGGTGTGTGGAAGTGAGAGTGGGTACCTGCTAAAACTAGGTCCCCCCCCCCAAAAAAAAAACTCCAAAAGTGGGAATCGAGGGTGACACTTTTTGTGTGAAATTCCGCTTTAACCTCCTTTTTCAGATCCTATGTTAAGCCTACAAAACCATAATAAGCAACCCTTTAAAAAACAAAACAAACAAACGACCAAAAAAAAGTATATATATCTATAAACATTGCATAGACAAACCAAAAAAATAGTCAAGGCATTGACTTGACATAGGGATTTCCTTGGTGGGATTTTTTTACTGATAGGTACATTCTTTCCTGCACATTCCTCACTAGGTATCATGTGCTAAAGCCATTGCTAGGTTTCCAGCACTGTGCTTGAATGTATGAGAAAGAATACTGTGCTGGGTCCGGATGGCACACATCGCTCAAGAACTGGCAGATGTCCCACCACTGGCCTGTCAATCTCACAGAAACATCTCCCAGTCTGTAGTCTTCAACTGTGTATAGACATAAGAAAAGATAAGGAGAGCAGGGGAATGATTGTGACATTAATATACTGTATGTTTGTAATAACAGTGATAAATATGTATCAGCAGACACTTTTCAGTGGATAGTTTTGTAGTAATTGTAGTAATATAGTCAGATAAATAGTGAGAATGCAGAATTTTCATCAGCACCCTGTCCGAGTCATTTAGTTTTATTGGATTTGTATTTGAAACAAAAATACCCAGCACTTAGTATTTCTGCGGTGGGGTGGGGGGTGTGGGGGGACAACTGCTAAGCTATTCCACAATATGTTGCCTAATCAATGCTGACTACTTTTGCCATCATCAGCAAAATGACAACCTCACAGAGTGTAATGGAAAGTGACACCGTGCCTCCCAGAGATTTACAGTAAATTGAGAATTGTTTTTATTACAAAACCTAAAATTAACAGTTGTAGAATTTCCCTTGAGTGTCTTTCTGTGCAGAAGAAAATATTTTGAATATTTGTAAAATGCATTTTCCTTCAGACAACCTTATCTGGTTCAGTGGTGCAGAAATATTTCAAACGATAAAATACAACAGTTTAAACACCAGTTCAGCAACAGAAGGTTACAGAGATATTTGAATTCATTTGAAGAGGAATAACGTGTAATACTTAAAGTGGTTGTATACCCTCACATATACAGTTTCCAGTGAAGCGACTGACCTCAGGTGATACACAGAGATGATACTCAGAGATGAAAGAAATCCTCCTATATAAGTTATTAAATTTATGAAGCTTGGCTGAGAGTTCAGGAAAAGGGTGCAGAGAGCTGAACCACTGGAGAGCTCAGGAGGGTTCTGAGAGCTGATTGGAGGGAAGAGACACCCCCCCCTTCATACAGCTCAAAAGAACAGGAGGTGCAATCCCTCCATGGAGTAGGCAGGGTCGCAGATGACCAAAATGGTGGGGGACATGGGCAAGCATGGACACAGCCAAGCAGGACCCCCCACCAAAATCACACATCAAAGGAAAAAGATACCATCACAAAACAAATGCAGACAAGGTCCATACAACCATATTATATATCAATAACCACCAATGCAATAAACCAAGGAACTGTATAAATAATAACAGTGCCTCCAATATACTAAAAAAAAAAAATAGACAGTCAGAGCAATCGGCCTTGCTAGTCGGCTCCTGGTTTGGACGGAACCTCATTGCGCTCCATCCAATTGTAGCTGGGACTGTTTTTTATTGGTCCCCACCCGGAGGATGTGGGTGGTCACCAGTAAGAACCACCTGCCTTTGGAGTGATATATAAGGGATGGATCCTACATGGACACCCAGGAGGCCTGTTTGTTGGGACCATGTATGTTTGACCAGTCCTCCTGCCCATATTGTGAGTCTAGGGTGGTTGGAATTTTGTTGATTATACTTTTGTGCATATTGATGAAAGTACAGGCTAACATTGATAGAGACATAGAGGAAACAGGTTATCTCATGATCACATCAACCTACATTCAAAGATCTCTGAGGACTTCCATGCTACAGTTCTTCCATTGATTTATGCAAAATTCAAATGGTAGAACTGACTATTTGTTCCATATGTGCTTTTAATTAAAGATTTGTTTTTAAACTGGCGTAATAAAGACATGTAACATTTCTTTAAATATTTGTGTCATGTGTATATTTGACAATTGGAAGGGTTTTTAAAGTCACAATATTTGTTTTTCTTTGATGGAGATGACACCCTCCAATTTTATAACCCGCGAATAACACCATTCCCCTATGCATACATTGTTTTTTAGGAACATTTGTCAGAAGTGATTCATGCTAAAAGCAGAGGAACAAGGAAACAGACAGAAATGACACTTAGCTCTCTTCATTGAGACAAGTGCACACTATAGAGGGAAATTATTTGTTCATATTTTATGTCTGAGATTTACAAAAGCCCAAATCTAGCTTACAAAAAATATATATATTATACTGCACTGCAGGAGTTAAAAAGAAAAAAGTTTTAGCTGCAATACTCACCCTTTGTCAAGTGCTGTTCCTTGCAGACCCACCACTCCAACCACCTAGTTCTGGGGCTCATTCGGATTGAATGGCACTAATTCCTCAAGGACCCTATTTCTTAGGGTCATGTCATCAAGCTACCCTTGATTCAGCACACTCCGGAGAACACATCTCTACTGCTTTACACCACTGCATCCAACGCTTTGCATTGCACTTGGTTACTGTATGTAAGGTTTGGATGCAGCTGCTTGGCAATGGAAATCCATTCCATGAAGCTCTCTATGCACTGTTGTTGTGCTAATCCGAAGGCCACATGAAGTTTGGAGGTCTTTAGCTATTGACTCTGCAGACAGTTGGCGACTTTTGCGCACTGTGTGCTTCAGCATGCGCTGACCCCGCTCTGTCATTTTACATGACCTACTACTTCATGGCTGAGTTACTGTTGTTCCCAGTTGCTTCCACTTAATAATACCACTAATAGTTGACTGTGGAATATTTAGTAACAAGGAAATTTCACAGATGGACTTATTGCACTGGTGGCAACCTATCACGGTATCAGGCTTGAATTCACTGAGCTCCTGAAAGCGACCTATTCTTTCACAAATTTCTGTAGAAGCAGTTTGCATGTCTAAGTGCTTGATTTTATTTACCTGTGGCCATGGAGGTGATTGGAACACCTGATTCCAATGATTTGGAGGGGTGTTCCAATACTTTTGGTATTAGAGTGTATCTCTTTCTGTTCTGCACACATGCTATAGAAATTTCGAGGATGTCCCACTTTCCCTGGAGAAATGTGAAAGCTCCAAATACCAAGGTAGCTGGTCATAGGCCCAGGCAGGTCTCATTACTATAGAATTTAAATATATTTTAAGATTGATTTCCAGGTAATCAGATGTATATGTACAGTGTATGTATAGATAGTCAAAAATAACTATTGTTTGTATTGCTAGTACAATGATGATGGTATAAAATGAAAGTGTATGCTATGACTATAGATCTCCTTTAAATAAAGGAGTTTTCTGCTGGCTCAACGCAGTGACAGTGGAGCAAATCTCAGACACCTACCTCTGTACACACTGCCCAATTTTCTCCTGAAGAGCACACAGCTCTGTATATTTTGCAATTTATTTCCTTATGCTCACCTTTTCAAAAGTCTTCAGTCTGGGTATAGATACTATAGGGTTTGCCTCCTTTTTCCCATCTTCTCCAAGCAGGACAGTCTTAATGAGATGAGGGAAGCTCTTTTGTTATTAAAATAAAATAAAAATCCATCTTCCAGGGTAATAGGCAGGGGTATTTCCTCTCACCTCCGCTCTTTGCTCTAGTGTTAGAGCCACTTGATACTGCTATTCTGCAGTCTACAAATATTACCAGTTTTCAGTGGTCTACTGGGGAAGGTAGAATGTGGATGACACTTTACTGTTCCTCAGGGACATGACAAAGACTTTGGTCACTATTAACTAGGACAAATCAGTCCTCTTACCATTAGATTCCATCCTGGATTCAACCTCACCCCCCCCCCCGATGCATCCAGATAGCTTTGGTCTCTATCTTTAAATATTAAGGGATTTATGTTTCTTCTATAATATCTCTGTATGTTACTCTGAATATTGACCCACTCTCACCAAATGCAAGAATAATTGCACAGCTTGGTGCAAAATGCCCTGCTCTGTTGTAGACAGGGTAATCTTATTAAAATGGTGGAATGCTCTAACTACAGGTAATAATTCATAATGTCCCTATATGGATATCTTAAAAGGTTTTAAAAAAAAATAGACTGCTTGTTCAGGGGTTTCATCTGGCAGGGAGGACAGCCTATAATTAAAGAGGCATTCCATCTCCCAAAGGATTGTAAAGGATTAGCAATCCCTAAACCCAAACAATATTTTTTTTGGCGTTCCGAATTCAACATGTTACTGGGTGGGTAAGTGGGGACAAGACCCTGTTCAGAGGCTATGATTTTTCAATTGACCCAGGCCCGTGGTCTCCTCATTGGAAGCCGGGCGCTTTCACACTATGCAGCAGTACCCCACCTTTTTGCTAACTCATAATACTTGTAAAACCATTCAAATAGTAGTTGACCACCCCAGCTACTTCCAATATATGCCCATATGGGACAATTCCTGTTATCCAGAAATAGCTAAATTAGAAGGTTTTGATCAATGGAAGTGATCAGATATAATCTATGATCATCAGTTATTCGATAATGACACATTGCTACCTTACCAATCACTCATGGAAGATTTATGTCCTATTTCATTACCTCCAGATCCTAAAGTGGTGATCTTGAGCATCATAACTGGGGACATTATACCACCATCCCAAGTTAATGCTGACATGTCTATTTTTCCTCACGAGTAAACTAATAGCAGTGAGAGGTGATAGTCTCCCTGCCCTCCTACAATGGGGAGATGCTGTTAATACCATATTGGAGAGAGAAAAAATGTCTTATTAACATAGGGGCTGTCCAAAAAATTTGGTGGGGTCTCTCTGGTTATCATCTTCCTTGTCAGACTTTCCCTCCATCCCATATCTATAATTAGGATAGCCATATACTATTATACAATTTTCTGTCCAATTTCTGCCCAATTTCCTTTATATTTACCTTCAACTATATAGTGCAAGGGCCTGCCTAATTGGATACAATTGAAAGTGTTGCTTAGGTTTGACCTTGTATGATATGGTTTTTGGTAAATTTAAAGCAAATTCTCAAGAAAATTGTATAATGTATGGCCAGCCTTAATCAACTGACTTGCAGTATCTGCTACCACACCTTTTGCCACAGACATCGGATATCAACCTTTATTGAAGGTAAATGCAAGGGCATTCTAGTCAAACCAAGACTTTTAATTTTACAGGTATAAAAAGGGATGCTAGAAGTAGTAAGTGGCAAGTATGTCCTATTACTGATAGGCGACGCACATGTTGTGGGCCAGCCAGAGACCGTTAATGAAGATGGCAGACAACAGTGTTAGTGCGTGCATGGAACAGCGTGTGGTGATGAAGTTTCTTTTGGACGAAGGTGTAAAACCGTAGATATCTACAGAAAACTTCAAATACAGTATGGTGACATTTGAATGGTGTAAGCATTGTAGAAATCACTATATAGCCATCAGCGGTGAGCCCGGCGTGGTTCCCAGCCCACTGCAGTCATTCTTGTGAACTTATAGCGTGTGGAACACCTGATCCTGGATAATCAACGCATAACCTGTTGTGAAATTGCACAAGAGACAAATCTTTCTGTGGGATCAGCAAACACAATGATGATAAAGTGAAGCAGGCTGTCCTAGGATGGTTCAGGCATACTGAAAACCTTTCTATGCCAAAGCTTTCCAGGCATTAGTTAAACACTGAGATAAGTGTATAAATGTAGCAGGGGAATATGTCGAAAAAAAATAAATACAATTTCCACTCCTTGAAATGTGTTATTTTTTATTACATAAACTTGAAAGTCCCAGTATGACTTGAACACCCTTGTATTTGTCTCTTCACTTGCCCTCTATCTTGTTTTGTCACTTGACTCCAGTGGATGCCTTAGCATACTCTTTTGTGTATTCTTGCTCCGGTTACTAAAAGTTGTGCTATTTGGGTGAATCAAGATGATTATACAGATTGCTGACATGTACAAGATTTTAGGGGTTGTTTACATGTTACCATCTGAAGAGCAGTCCGTGGTTGTGGGGCAGTTGTGGCATGACTCCATGCACTTGAAAAGGCCATGTGCAGCAGGCAATACCGCCCACTGATTGTAATGGTGGGGGGGGGGGGGGTATAATTTTTGCTGCAAAGCATTGCAGTCATGGCAGGTGTATATCCCTGTATGGTTTCTTTTGCAGCTTAGTGGGACAGTTGGGGGGCCATAAATATGAAGCTCGACCTCTTTTGTTTTTAACCATCTCCAAACAAGTGTAATCTAAGCCTAATGCAGGCCATAGATGGGTCGAAAATCGGCCGATTTTTTTTGGCCGAAAATAAAATCGGCCGATTTTCGGATCGTTAGTGGGCGATTTGGTCGGCCGTTTTTCGGTATTTTGGCCGGTTTTTTTTTTTTCGGTAAAGTTGGAAAAAAATCGGCCGATTTTGCCGATCGGCCGATTTTCGCGGCAATTAGTGGGCAAATCGGCCGATTTTTTTCCGATAAAAAAATCTGCGCATGAGCAGTGACCTGCAAGAGGAAGACAAAAAGAAGAAAAAGAAGAGGAAGACGATGAAGAAGAGGATGAAGAAGAAGAAGAGGAAGAAGAAGAGGATGAAGAAGAAGAGGATGAGGATGAAGAAGAAGAAGAGGACGAGGACAAAGAAGAAGAAGAAGAGGATGAGGATGATGAAGAAGAAGAGGACGAGGATGATGATGAAGAAGAGGATGATGAAGAAGAGGATGAGGATGAGGAAGAAGAGGATGAGGAAGAAGAAGAGGATGAGGATGAAGAAGAAGATGAAGAAGAGGATGAGGATGATGAAGAAGAAGAGGATGAGGATGAGGATGAAGAAGAGGATGAGGATGAAGAAGAGGATGAGGATGAAGAAGAAGTAGAAGAAGAAGAAGAGGAGGATGAGGATGAAGAAGAAGAAGAGGATGAGGATGATGATGAAGAAGAAGAGGATGATGATGAAGAAGAAGAATAGGATGAGGATGCAGAAGAAGAAGAGGATGAGGATGATGAAGAAGAAGAGGATGAGGATGATGAAGAAGAAGAGGATGAGGATGAAGAAGAGGATGAGGAAGAAGAAGAAGAAGAAGAAGAAGAAGAAGAAGAGGATGAGGATGAAGAAGAGGATGAGGATGAAGAAGAGGATGAGGATGCAGAAGAAGAAGAAGAAGAGGATGAGGATGAAGAAGAAGAAGATGAGGATGAGGAAGAAGAAGAAGAGGATGAGGATGAGGATGAAGAAGAAGAAGAAGAAGAAGAAGAAGTAGGATGAAAATAAGAAGAATTCCAGTCCAGCAAAAAGTGTCTCTGCAGAGAGCTCCGCTATTTCTGACAGTTCTCTGATAGTTCCTTGACATTTACAGTGGTTGAAACATTGTATCTATTTGTTTCCGAATAAAAACATCTGTATCCTAAATGGAAACAAATAGATACATTGTTGCAACTTCTATAAATGTCAAGGAACTGTCAGAGAACTGTCAAAGAAATAGCAGAGCTCTCTGCAGGGACACTTTTTGCCGGCTCTAGACGGGTAGAAAATCGGCCGATTTTTTTTTACCATTGATGGTAACGTCGGCCACTTGAAACAACCGATTTTTCGTTTTTTAAAAGAAAAATCTGCAGTTTTTCTCCCCATCTATGGCCTGCATAAGGCTAGATTCACACATATGCAGCTCTTGTTTTGCACAAGCACAGCAGCCCATTCATTAGAATCAGCTGCCATGCCTTCTGAAATGCAGGGAAAAGTCCATGCAGCATTTTAGAAATCTCAGCTCACATGGGAACCGCAGGTGGAGTGAGGTTTGCAGTGCAGGAGTGATTTCCAGTGCATGCAGCTTGCCATTAGAATTAATGGAACCTACACATCCAGCACATTTTTCTGTGCTAATGGTTGCACCTGGAACAGTTGCTGACCCAACTCTGGAACCAACCACACAGATCTGAACCTAGCCTAAGGCTGTCCATACGCTATACAATTTTCTTACAGTTTTATGTCCTATTTCAGCCCAATTTCCTTTAGATTTACCTTTGACTATGTAGTACAAGGGCATGCCTAATTAGATACAATTGAAAGTGTTATTTAGGTTTGACCTCATATTATATGGTTTTTTGGTAAATCTAAAGTAAAATTATCAAAATTGCATAATGTATGGCCAGCTTAATGCAGGCCATACATGGATTGAATTCCGAACTAACTTTCTTTAGAAAATCGGAAATTTCATGCGTATTGTAATCTAGTGGTGCCACCACTGATTTCGAAATTCAACCAACTAAGCCTTCAGTTTCACCTCATGTTGCTACAGCAAAGAACTTTTGAGGCCAATCATTTTCTTTTCTTTCCAGGTCACAGCTCATGCTTGTTTATATTTCTCCCACGATTCTTCCATCATTGATTCAAAATTCGTTTGTTTTTCAAAAAATTTCCAACATGCCCAATCACTCAAATTCAATGGTCACATGAAAATCGGCTGTTTTTGTGACTCACTAATAGTGCAAATTCTAACGAAAAGTTTTAGAAAAGATTTTCGAAAAAAAGTTCTTTCTGAATTTGACCCGGGTATGACAGGCTTTAAAGTGTTACTAAACCCACAACAGAAAAGTCAGTCTCTATATGCAGTAAAGCATGCTGCATTGTGTAAAAAGGCTGTTTGATCCTTTCTTCTCTGTTACTCCCCTTTTCAAGTGACCACTTTTCAAGTGACCACTCTTATCTCCAGACTGAACCATAGACATGCACATGCTCAGTTTGCTATGTATATTGCTAGAGAGATTTTTTTTTTTCTTGAGAGTGTGCATGTGATCAGCACAGGGCCAATCAGTACTGTCCAGACAGAGGTCAAGGGATTTCCATCCTCCTAGAGCAGAAAGAAAACTCCTCTTAGAAGCTTTAGCTAGTGCTGGGCTGAACACTGATAGATGTCACAAGAGTGCTCTAACTGCCGATGAGAAAAGGTATTTAGCAGTTTATATTTCCTAAAATAATTGCACTTCCATGTTGTGTGTACTGTGGGAGACCAGATAGAGTGGATTCAGGGTCCTGGGTTTAGAAACACTTTAAGGCATGCTACCAATTAGTAGTAGTTATTAAAATCAGCTGGTACCTCATTTTTTAACTGCCCATTTTGTAACAGAAGCAGCACAGACTTAGAAGAGCCCAGTCACATCAAAGCCGATTTTGAAATAGTGCGACTTACAGTGAAGTCGCATGATTTCAAAGTCTAATGACCTGTGAATTTGAGGTGTGATTTGCAGACATCTGACACAGATATCTATGCAAATCGCACCATAAGTACATGCATGCACTACTTTAGAAATCAGTGCGGCTCTGACCAAGTTGGAACTGCACCGATATGACCTCTAATAGCGGACAATAGGGTGCGACTTGGCTTATGATTTGCAAGTTGCATGGTATGCAAATCGCATGCCAAGTCGCACCCGATGTGACCGGGGTGTAAGGCTCCATGAACTGCCTCAAGAATCGCTGTTTCTACAGGAGTATTATGCTTTGTCGGTAGAATCAGCTCAGTGTTCTCCTATGTGTCCTTGCACATTATGATGATTAGAGGCATATTTTAAGCACAAACGCAGGAAAAATCCCTTCTGGTTCACATTTTAGATTGGAGCTTTCTAACAGAAAAAATGCTAAACTCTTCTAAGCTCACCTAAACTATGTGTAAAAACATCAGAGTTTTTTTTTCTGCCAAGGGAACTTGCGTTTTTTTTTTTTAATGTGAATGGAGCCAACACTGTTCCAAGCACTGGCAAATTATGTTGAAATGTGTAAGCTATTCTGTTTAGTAAATGCTGCCAATGCAGAAATAAAATGGAAGCTGTTACTAGTCAGCACAGCCATTCAGGTTAAAGTTTTATAATATATCTCGCTAACAGGGTCTGATCTGTCTCTTATAGCCCTAGCTCGTCATATAGCATGTTAGCAGTACTTTTGAAGACCAAGCAGAGCATTGTAGGAAAGTCACTTGATATCAGTTTTTCATGTTATGTGATCCCTGGGTCAGCATGTGACAGGACTTATTGTACACACAGAGCATGCTGTCATTTTGCTGAGCACATTGTTTATACCTACATATGATAGACAGTACATGAATTGCACAGAGTTTGCTCAAAATAGAACAGTAGTAATACAAGAAATTTATATAGAAAATACAGTTATGTAAACATTGCATTAGATATATATGTGATTTTGTTCCTGTATAGTAAAATACTATATATTCATATAGTGAACTCGGTGTAGATCTATTCACCCTGAGGTCATCACAGAGGACAAGGGGGCACTCTTTATATCTGGAGGAAAAGAAATTTAATCTAATCTTTAAGTTAATTTTAATAAATATGGAAAGGTTTCTTCACAGTAAGAGCTGTGAAAATGTGGAATAGACTCCCTCAAGAGTTGGTTCTGGCCAGCTCCGTTGATTGCTTTAAAAAAAGGCCTGGATTCTTTCTTGGATACACAGAATATAACTGGTTACTAACATTTATAGGTTTTTTTGCCTTCCTCTGGATCAACTGAGGGTGTAGGATTATAACTTTTTTTTTTTTCTTTATGGTTGAACTGGATGGACTTTTGTCTTTTTTCAGCCAGACTAATTATGTAACTATATATACCGTATATTGCTATCTTTATATTAATAGCTTAATTTAAAGCTGAATTCTAGACATATACAATACACACATTAATACAGCTATGCATTTGTAAAAATATCATTACATTTATTATTTATTAAAATTTTTCAAAGTCAACTAGTATATGCACTAGTATATTGTCATAGCTTTAATCATGCATACATTTAGTACTTAGTAACTTGGCAAATTGAAGTTCTGGGGTTCACTTGGTGTAAACTGCTTTGGTGAAAGCAAAGGCAAGGGGGCTCTGTGGCAGTGTGAAACACATTAAAGGACATCAACATATTTAAAGCGGATCTTTCCCCCCCCCCTTTTACTAAAATTCACTTCAGCATGCATTTAACACTTTTTTGTGTCCACTTTTTAGTTTCCTTGAAGGCACTGATGATGTAGCCTTGGCTATACCAATGCTTCCTGGGATGGCAAGATAATAAGGGCCTTCAGGAAGATCTCATATCTATTCTGTAAGATCTTGAGTGATCTTGTTATATTGTTGAACTACACATGCACGAGATGAAACACGTGACATCATATGCCTCATCTCAAGCATGCGCTGTATGATATTACACTCATTTGTTGTTGCATGATGCTGGAGGAAGACTCCACCCATACAGCTGCATCATTAATTCACAGGGATCAGTGAATGAATAAACTACAAGTCCTGTCTGCCACCTTGGTGAATGGACTTGTAGTTCTGAATGGACTACGAGGGTGAGTATCAGCACTCATAGTCCATTCGGTCTTCCTCCAGCTTTGTAACTGAAAACCCATGTAGAGGTATGGGCACAAAGCTGGACAGGAAGCTGATATTGCACTTGCAATTCACTGATTGCAGGCACAATGCCTTTCAGTCTCCTGTAGGAAAACATAATAAATGCACATTTTTCTTTTGTAAAAATATGTGCATTTATTATTTTTCTTAAAGTGTTACTAAACCCAGGAGCCTGCATTCACTATATCTGGTCTCCCACAGTACATATAACATGGAAATGCAATTATTTTACTAAATATAAACTACTAAATACCTTTTCTCATCAGCAGTTAAAGCAATCTTGTGACTTCAGCAGAGCACTGGTTAAAGCTTTTAGGAGGAGTTTTCTTTCTGGTCTAGGATGTGAAACCTCTGACCCTCTGTCTGGACAGTGCTGATTGGCCCTGTGCTGATCACATGTATCCTCCCAAGAAAAAAAAACGCTAGCAATAAACACCAAACTGAGCATGTGCATGTGACCACAGGTTCAATTGGTATCAGGTGGACATTTCAACAAGAGGAGGTGCAGAGAAGTAAGGATCAAATATCCTTTTTACACAATGCAGAGGATTAAACCCTTGGGTTCCACAATGAGTATAACAAGCATGCTTTGATGCATATACAGACTGATTTTACTCTTGTGGGTTTAGTAAAAATTTAAGTCCTCATGCACACTGGACATTTTTACAGCTGCTGTTTTTGACTTTTGATGTTTTTTTTTTTCTACAGCTAGTAAACCCCCCAGCATGTTATCCTATGCGTCCATGCACATATAGACTGTAATCAATGTTTTTTTGGCCGGAAAAATAACCCAGGACTAGTGAGTTTCTAGAGGAGTTTTTTTTTTGTCAAACGGAAATGCAGAAAAATGCCACTAATCGTGGCAAAACGCCACTAAACGCTAATGCAAAAACGCTAAAAAAAGCTGAAAAACTCACATTTTTAATGTGACTTTACACAGCTAATGTTACCAGCGTTATCAAAATGTCCCGTGTGCATGAGGACTAAAGGTCAACCTATTCTTTAACATAGTGTTTTACATTGCAAGTGTACTCCCATGTGCTGCAGAAAGATCATGTGGTTGTGACTGACATCAATCATGCTCTCTGTCTATCCCAGAGAAATCCAAGAGGAAAGAATTTTGAGCAGTGCAATACCATCCATTTTTATAATAATTATAATCCAATAATAAAGATAATAATAAAAATAATGCAATAATAATCATCATTATTCATACTGTATCTGTTGAGTAATTACAAGAATAACAACATTTTTGACGCAGAAAACAACTCTAATATAGATATTTGGACTGTGTATTTGTTTGCCTGGAGATCAGCGTAAAGCTGGATATACACCTCTATTTTTTTTTCTATTTGGCAGGCAGTAGACTAACAGATTTCTAGATGCACACAAAACGAGGTGAATGGAGAAATCCCTCCTGCCCACCGCCCCACGAGGACATTGTATTTTGATAGCAACACCTGCTGCTGTCAGTATACACTGATCAGCAGCTGCAGTGATTTGGCTGTTGCCGGTTATCAAAGGAAAATTAATCAAAAGTTAATTAAACAATCGGCTTCTGATGAGTGGGGGAAGCAGCTCACTCATTGAGTCCCTGCTTGACTGGCTGAGTTTCAGTCAATGTATGGCAAGCTTTGGGGCTTTTTCATAGCATGTTCTTTGAGGTGCAATTTTTTTGCATAATGTATGGTGAGAGACAGGCACATAGACAATGATCTCTATGTGCCTTGTTCATATCATATACTGTATGTTCAGTGATGTGCAGAAAAATGAAGTTAAAAGGATATGCTGTGAACAACTCCAAATAAAACAGATCAAGGTAAGAAAATGTGGCTAAAAATAAAAGTCTTTGTGTATTTTTAGATTTTCATGTGTTTCCTTTGAGAATGGCCTATTGTTTGTTTTTTGGAGAGAAACCCTGCTCTGGATAGTGACAATCCCTTTTCCTCTTTGCTGAATACCATTAGATCCTAGTAAGCTTGGCAAATATTCCTTGGTTGTAATATTTTCATATACGTGGGAGAAGGTACTCAATACCGGTCACTCTCCATAAAAAGCAATTAGATATTAAAATGAAAGGCATGCCATGTAAAACAAGCTAAGCACCGTGTATAGAGTCTTTCTTGTTATGGGTGTCACAACCCCTTTAATGATGTCTATAAGATTGAATTTTTATACTATCTCTGCATTCATGATTCTGTTCAGCTTGGTCACTTAGGAGTTGATTTACTAAAGCTGGAGAGTGCAAAATCCAGTGCAGCTGTGCATGGTAGTCAATCAGCTTCTAACTTCAGCTTGTTTAATTAAAGGATCCTTTAGCAAAAAATAATAAATGCACATTTTTTGCAGATAAAAAGTGTGCATGAACTATTTCTTGTTTTGGGAGCCTAGAATCAATGATCAATGATCAGCAGATCGCGGGTGCCATGCAGGACTCCTGTAGACCTGTCAGTGTATCTGTCTGCTCGTACCTTGTAAGGGGAAGCAGGTACACACAGACAAGAAGAATCAGTGAACTTCCACAGCACTCAACAGTGCCGTGGTAATTCACTGAGAACTTTAAGTCGACAACCGCAAACACTGTTGGAACCTGTAGTTTTCCCATTCACAGAAACATTTCCCGTACGGAAAAGTTTTTTTTTAATTGTGACAGCTGGTGGGGGGAGAAGATCCCTTTCACAACGGGTGATCGGAGGCCTGTCCTTTCATAACATGTTACATGTTATTCCTTGAATATGGGTGTAACATGTAACATGTTACAAAAGGTGAACTTATTCTTTAAGCTTTGACAAAAAAAAATGGAAGCTGAATTGCACCAGATTTTGTACTCTCCGGTTTTAGTAAATAAACCCCTAAGTCTAGAGTCACACTTGTGTGGGAAATGTGGGGAAAACGTCCCTGACCCTTTTATAAAAACACAGCAGCATGAAACTACATAGTGCTGTGGCACCATGTGGCTTCACACAACCAAAAATGTGCCCCATTTTCCAATGCATTTTGCTTACGGGTTGGGTACACGTGTGATTATGCATGGGTACCCAACCTGCACAAGTGTGAACCCAGCCTCAGGCCCCTTTCACATGAGCAGTCTGATTGGGTCTGTTTTTCAGGCGGACCTGATCAGACTCTCCATTCTCCTCTATGAGCAGTCAGATGTAAACAGACTTGTATCCACTTACACCCAAGCTACCTCAGATCCGGCAAAAACTAGGATTTGTTCCCCTCCAGCTGGCTGGATTGGATCTGAGGGCAGTTGGGTGTAAATGGACAGCTGTTCCATTTACATCTGACTGCCCATAGAACAGAGCGGGCTGTGTCCATGTCTGCTCTACATAAGCAAAGTGGACATGGACCTGTTGTTTGGTAGCTCTGCTCAGCTCAGCAGGTGATCAGCAGACAAATCCCGTGATGAGCAAAATCAGATCTGGCCCTTGTGAAAGGAGCCTTAGGCTTTCATGTTGTCTTATAGGACCAGACAAAAAGTCCTTGATATTTAAAGACAGTAAAACCCAATCACTAAAATTTCATTAAAATTAAAATGATATCATTTAACATGTTAGACCTTTACCATGCAGACCCTTGTTAAAAATCACCCAAATTCATGGTTCTTCATTAAGAATTAATGTCACGGACACGCATTTGAAAAAAGGGCTGTGCGTTGTTATGCATTGAGGATAAATGCATGATTTTACACACGTTCCCACAATTCACAACCCTTAGCGCTTACATTTACTTCAATCAGCACAACAAAGAAGTATAGCAATTGCACTTAACAGCTGTTTAAAAGTACATAAGTCCTGAATGTCCAGGGAAATGGAAATTTGTGAAGTGTGCTCAGATGAATGATCAGCCAGTGGCTGGGAATGCAAACTTTCCTTTATCCTGCAAGGCAGTAGAACATAATTAACAAGTTTGCTGTGCGGCTTCCTGAGAAATGGGGGCCTCACTCCTTTCTGAGACAATATATTTTCTGCTTCCTTTTATTTTTCTCTGGAGCCATATTATACAGCTCAGCAGTGACCTTCCATCTGTCATGTGTTCTTTTTCTCAGATTTTCTAGCTACCATATCATGTTTTAAATCAATGAAAATCTCTTGGAAAGTACTAAAGACTATAGTGTAAGGTTATGAAATTGGACCATTTCTCTGATATAGCAGCCATGATTATCAATAGATTGTAAGTGTGTCAAGCAAGCCAAGAATGACCTAAGTACGAGGAGCTCTTTAAGTTCTGTTTATATGAGTTGCGTTGGCTGTGCTAGGCAGCCTTGGCTGACACTGTCCAAATGCATAGACAAGGCAGAAAGATATGGAAAGTTCACATCACCGTGCTGCTGTGGTATGTGCTAAAAAAAACATATGGTGTGCAGAGTGGTGCTTGGCCAATAAACTGAAAAAGATGTCACATTGTAATATTTCAAGAAAATTCTAAAAATAAAAGTTACAATTTAGGTGTCCGTTTATGACACAGAGAATAGCTGCGATTCAACAGATCTCAGCTATTCTCTGGTCATTCACAGTTTATGACACTCAGGAGATCATGTCAGCCCTTCACTGGAGATCTGTGTTCTCCCTCCAGATTCTCCAGCTCAGAGCTGGAGAATCAGAGGGACCGAAAACTAAGCAGAGATAGTTTACCTCTGTTTAGTAAACTGATCTTTTACTGTAATCTCGAGAGATTATAGTAAAATGAGCCGTTTTTCAGAGTTTGTAGACCGTTCTCCAGCGTTTGGAGACCGTTCCCTCTTTGTTCGGAGAACTGCTTCATAAACTGCATTCACAAGAGAACTGTGTTCTCCGAGAATGCCGGAGAACTGAGCAGCGATCTATTACCGCTGGTTCATGAACAGACACCTTAATGCACTGTTTACACTTCATAGGCAGCAATGCCTTGACATCACACTGAAAGCTATGCAGTAGTGCACAATTCTGGTATGAACAAGCCCTAAGAGTGTCTGCTTTGTGAATAAAATGTTTCAAAAGGTTGAGCCCATGCCCTGCCCTGACATGCTTTATTTTGTGGGTTGTTAAATGAATTTCAGATAGCCATTACATACAATGCAGTTCTATTTAACAATGACCTCTCCACCATACAAAATAATGAATTGATTACAAACATTCCATCTTCCCTGCCTGCAGGGAGCTTCCCTATAATCTAATGTTGTACTTTGCCGTTAAAAGAAGAAATGTTGAAAAAATATTGTTGGATACTGTCTAAATTAACTGGTAATATGTATTCTGACCTGATTTCTTCCCCAGCCCTGGATTTTGCAAGACATTTGATCTTTTGTATGGCATCAGTCCAAAGAGCGCTGGTGCTCAGTAACTCACAGCATCCAAGCAGAAATAAACTTGTATTAATTTGCCCATTCTAACACTGACTATAGATGACTTGCTCCTGACTTGTGCAATCAATGAACAAATGTGTGTACAGAGGAAATAGAAATATTTGAACAATCAGTATTCTGGCCTCAGCACTTCGGTTTCTGTCAGCAGCTTGGTGCCTTCTATAACAACATTGTTTTACTTTATTAAAGTATGTAATCCTTTAATAAAAGAACAGCATGAACTGACTACGTCTTGGTGTGGTCATCTGCTCTCACGTACGTCTTAGCATCGATACATCTATTACCAGAACCCTTTATAAGTGTGTTTTAATATTTTCTAAGCAAACCAATATGTTTATTGACATAAGTTGCCTCTCGATGTGTGGGCTTTAACGCCAAGTGGCCACATATATGCATATGTGGTAAACACCTTTCTACACTACCTGCATGCTCCCAGCATAGTAATGAGTAGGTAATGGGAAACTCCCAACACATACTAGCTTTCCTACCTGTGACTGCCAATCAGAGCAGTCACATGAACAGAATATCTGCCTCCACCTCCACGAATTTCGATCCTGTTAACCACTTGCCTACCGAGCACTTATAGTCCCTTCCTTACCAGGTCAATGTTCAGCTTTCATCGCTGTCGCTCTTTAAATGACAATTGCACGGTCATGCAACATTGTACCCATATGACATTTGTATAATTTTTTTCACACAAATAGAGCTATCTTTTGGTGGTGTTTACTCGCTGCTGGGTGTTTTATTTTTTGCGCTATAAACAAAAAAAGAGCAAAAATTTTGAAAAAAAAAAGGGGTTTTTTTGTTTCTATTATAAAATTTTGCAAACAGGTAATTTTTCTCCTTCACTGATGTGCATTGATGAGGCTGCACTGATAGGCAGCACTGATGGGCACTGATAGGCATCACTGATGAGGTGGCACGGATAGGCGGCACTGATGGGCACTGATAGGCAGCACTGATATGCAGCACTAATGGGCACTGATATGCGGCACTGGTGGACACTGAGAGGTGGCACTGATGGGCACTGACGGCACTGCTGGACACTGACTGGTAGTACTGCTGGGGGCGGTACTGATGGATGGCACTGCTGGGCTGCACTGCTGGGTGGCACTGGTGGGCACTGATGGGCACAGGTGGGTGGCACTGATGAGCACAGGTGGGTGGCACTGATGGGCACTGATCATCAGGGCACTGATGATCAGTGCCCTCATGATTGGTGCCGATCCTTCCTCTGACAACTGCTGGCTCTCGGCAGTACTTTCCTCACACTGTGACAGCATGAGGAAAGTGCAGCCAATAACCGGCAATTGCATTTCCCGGTGATCAGTGTGTCATTGGACACGGCTGATCACGTGGTAAAAGGCCGCTGTGATTGGCCTTTTACCATATCATGTGATCAGCTGTGTCCGTAGGACACAGCGTTCATGGAGATCGCTGGGTGCGCACCCCCGGGGGGCACTCAGGAGAGCGCGTTCTGGGAGGACGTCATATGACTCCCACCCAGAACTGGTCAGCTGCAGTGAAGCCGTCATTCAGCTATCTGTGGTCGGCAAGTGGTTAAAAGTCCAGGAGGTAGGGTTGCCACCTCATCCCTTTAAAACCGAACACATATTAATTACACAAGTTCTTTGGCTGATTAGGGTGGTAATTGAACTCACCTAGTGCTTTATCTGCATTAAATTAGCCTCAGAACCTGTATAATTAATATGTGTTCAGTTTTAAAGGGATGAGGTGGCAACCCTACTGGGAGGCGACGGAAGTGGGTTAAGTTGGCTTCTTCCCTTGCAAACCTAAAATCCCTGGTGTTATTGTAAATAAAATATTTATTTGTGTACTTGCATATTATTTGATTCTACTTCCTTGTGTTGTGAGGTATTGGTGAAGTAGCCAGGGCCTCACAGTTGCCCCCTGAAAATGTTACATGACCACTGCTTACCTGGAGAGATGTATGTAAAAAACCTTTTCCCCCCTGAAATCTTTTGGTATTTCATGAAATTGCAGGAGTGGAAAAGCTTGTTCTCCCAGAGTTATGGCTTTGATATCATATCATAGCCGACCATCATTGATGTGAACTGTGCAAGTTTACACAAGAAGGAGGAACCGGACAATAGCATATGGGGACAAAGCATGCAATAAAGTGGCCCAAACACTAGTAGAATTTCATTAAAAAATTCAAAATGGAGATGGTACAGATGGATGAGTACAGCTGGATATTGCACACAGACATTTACCATATAGCAAAGCAATGTCAATTAGCAGTCATACATTGCATGAAGATGGGGAGATGGTACAGATGGATTTTTCATGCAGACATTTACCCCTGTCTGCGACTTCCCCCATAAGCTGAACTAAATTTATAGGGAGATGGGGCTGGCAAACATTTGTCCTCTTGGTTGGGGGGTACTCTAAAAAATGAATAAATAAACTCGGTGGCACCATCCACACCTACAAATTCATATTGAAAAATACAAATTAAACACCTTTTTTGTGGTAAGGGAAGCAGTACTTAAATAGAGTAAAAAATACCCTCTTAATATCAATATAAATAAGAAAGACGTTAAAACCCTTGTGATCCAACAACTAATTCAAAAATAAATAGTGGTGCAATAATATAAAAATATACAGTACATAATTAAATACTACAATCCAAAACGTTGTGAAGTGTCCATATATTAATAGTCCTTTTGAACTACAGTCCAAAACGTTGTGAAGTGTCCATATATTAATAGTCCTTTTGAACTGTGAATGATCCACTTATTCTCCAGTATAATAAACAAATAAATTCTTCACCACCAACGTGCAGTAGAATGAAGCTTCCTGATTACGTGATTTCATGAAATGCATTGAGACCTAGTCGTTGTCATCACTTCTGGTCCCATAGTACGTCACTTCCGGTGGTCTGGAGTCCGCTCGTGTGACGCAAGCTGGTCTTGCTAGACTGACTGGCGATGTTGCGGTTCTCTCTGTGATCATCCAGTGTCTAGAGTGGCACTTGTCCAGGTGAGTGGATCTCTGCTTTGTTTTGTACTTATTTTAATAAAACCTACTATGCTATGGGAGGCATTTGGTCACTTTGTGTGTGTGTATTGTCATACATGTTATGAGTTTAAGGAGAGATTGGTCTTTCCTTTAAAGTTGAGAAGGAGATCTTGGAGAGTTTGGTTTCTCCTTTAATATTGCCTGGTCTATGTGGTATGCGTGAAATTGATCTGGAGATCCTGATAGTGCCTGTATTGCTCGATTATATGAAAAGTGTGGATTGAGATTGGACCTGGTAAGCCTCCCGTTCTACTGCACGTTGGTGGTGAAGAATTTATTTGTTTATTATACTGGACAATGGTGTCAGGTGAATAATTGGATCATTCACAGTTCGAAAGGACTATTAATATATGGACACTTCACAACGTGTTGTATTTTAGTATTTAATTATGTATATTTATATTATTGCATCACTGTTTATTTTGTAATTAGTTGTTGGATCACAAGGGTTTTAGCTCCTTTCTTATTTATATTGATACTCTAAAAAAATGGCCTGACCTACTACATTGCTCTAAAAAATTAAAGGAACACTTTGAAAACACATCAGATCTCAATGAAGAAAAATATCATGCTGGATATCTATACTGAAATGGACTGGGTAATGTGTTAGGAATGTAAGGATGCCCCATCGTTTGATGGAATGAAAATTATCAATCTACAGAGGACTGAACTCAAAGACACCCCGAAAATCAAAGGGAAAAATTGTGCAACAGGCTAGTCCATTTTGCCGAAATTTAATTGCAGCAACTCAAAATGGTACTTTTGGATACTAAATTTGGTACTAAATTGGATTTAGGTCAGGCGAGTGTGGGGACCATTCAATGATATCAATTCCTTCATCCTTCAGGAACTGCCTCCATACTCTCACCACAGAAGGCCAGGCATTGTCGTGCACCAGGAGGAACCCAGGAGCCACTGCACCAGTGTAGGGTCTGACAATGGGTCTGTGCATCCCTCCTTGAATATGCCTCCCAAGACCATCACTAACCCACTACCAAAATGGTCATGCTGAATGATGTTACAGACAGCATAATGTTCTCCACGGCTTCTCCAGACCCTTTCACGTCTGCCACATTGCTCAGGGTGAACCTGCTCTCATCTGTGAAAAGCACAGGGTGCCAGTGGCGGACTTGCCAATTCTGGTGTTCAATGACAAATGCCAATCGAGCTCTATGGTGCTGGGCAGTGAGCACTGGGCCAATAGAGGACGTCGGGCCCTCAGGCCACCCGCATGAAGTATGTTTCTGATTCTTTGGTCAGAGACATTCACACCAGTGGCCTGCTGGAGGTAATTTTGTAGGGCTCTGGCAGTGCTCATCCTGTTCCTCTTTGCACAAAGGAGCAGATACTGGTCCTGCTGATGGGTTAAGAACCTTTTATGGCCCTGTCCAGCTCTCCTAGAATAACTGCCTGTCTCCTGGAGTCTCCTCCATGCTTTTGAGACTGCTGGAAGACACAGCAAACCTTCTAGCAATCGGTGGGTATCACCTCATGCTACCAGTAGTGACTCTGACCCTAGCCAAATGCAATACTAGTTAAAAACAGACAGAAAAGGTGAGTAGGGAAAAAAATGTCAGTGGCCTCCACCTGTAAAACCATTCCTGTTTTGGGGCCATCTCATTGATGCCCATCTAGTGCACCAAAGCAGCTGAAACTGATTAACAATCTTCTCTGCTACCTAACTGACCAGATCAATATCCCAGGAGTTTAACTGACTTAATGCTATACTCTGATTAAAAAGTGTTCCTTTAATTTTTTTTGAGCAGTGTATTTTTGGATTGGAAACTCCCAGGTGGAGGATTATGATTCCGAGCTTGATTAAGAGATGGAGAATGATAATTAGAATATTCTCTCTCACAGTCATAACCATTCATTAATACCTGTTGTAAGTAGGAAAATTATTTCTACTATATGGAGTATTTTCAGGCACATAGGGGTTTATTTACTAAACCTGGTTGACTCAGAATCTTGGGCCCTGTGCATGGTAGCCAATCAGCTTCTAACCTCAGCATGTTCAGTTAAGCTTCAGCAATAAAACCTGGAAGCTGATTGGTTTTTATGCAGAAGTGGACAAGATTCTGAGTCAACCAGGTTTAGTAAATAAACCCCATAATGTCCTGAATAATCCATATGTTCATATGTCATTTTGGATCTTTCTGGATTTCCACTATAAGAAGCATCTTTAACATAAGGTGTCAACTGTTCGTTAATGGTGTTAATCTCATCCAAAGATTTTCATTTTTTCTTCTTTCTGGTAATCAAAAATTCCAAGAAATTGACACTAGCCTAATTGAAATAAATGAACCACTCTTGCAGTTCTTTATCCTGTTTTTCAGGATAAAATCTCAAACTGAGGCTTCTAGGGATCATTTTGTTCTGAGACATATTGTTCCAAGAAAAATATGTCCCAGTTTACATGAATTTCAGATATCATACGATTTTTCAGTTTCATGAATAATCCCCAAACAATAGAATTCTCATCATAATCTGTGTTAAAAAAACACATTTGCATCCATTTTCTGTTGTTTCTGTAGTCAAAAATATCCATCCTTATAGATAAGAAGACTATAAAACAAAAAATAAAAAAAAAATAAATAAACTATGTCACCAGCTGCAAAATAAATACTACAAACAAAATACAACATAAAAAAAATGATTTGTGCTTAGTGTGATAAATCAAGAGAGTGCTGCTACCAAAAAAAGTTGAATAATAGAAGAAGAAGCCAAATTAAAGAATTATTCAGATCATAGAATACAAGAAGGAATTAGATCCCTTTGTGATAGAAAAGAGATGGTTATCCGACTGCTGACAAGGTGGGCGGTATCGTGTTACTAAATAAACCAACAACATACAGGGAGTTGTAAATATTCTTTCGGATAGGGACACTTATGATGTTTTAAAAGAGGACCACACTTGCCTATATAAAACTCAGTTGGAGCATATGATTAAAAAAGGGATATAAGGATGGAATCCTAGATAAAAAAGAGAGACATCATTTGATACCTTCTGCCCCCAGGATTATTATGATGTACTCCTTACCAAAAATGTATAAAGATTTAGAAAAACCTCCTGGCCATCCTATTATCAGCGGGATAAATTCAGTAAAATCACGTATAGAAAAGTATGTGGATTTTTTTCTACAACCATTGGTTGAAAGAACCCTGTATTTTTTGAAAGACACTACACAATTGATAAATGAACTAAAGAATATCTCAATTGAGGGAGATCGTCTTCTGGTTACAGCAGACGTCTCCTCGTTATATACTTGTATCCTTCATGATAAAGGAATTGAAGCTGCCAATTATTATTTGAAAAAATATTAAACCATTCCAGATATACAGAAAGAGTTTATATTACAACTTCTCACTTTTGCCATGAGCCAGAATGATGTACGGTTTGGGGGACAATTTTATTTTCAGTGGACTGGCGTTGCAATGGGGGCTAAGTTCACCCCCCTAGACTTCTACCCTACCCAATGGATATATTTTTTAAAATCTTATCATCTCCATGGGCTTAATATAGAGTAGGATCTTAATTGTTCTATAAATAATAGTTAGATTAAGATTATTTACGCACATGTACCTTTTTTGTTCTGATGTAATTTCAAAGAAGATTAGTTTACGTATATATGTACAGGAAGTCTGCCTATTTTGCGACATACATATATATTTTTTTAGCTATCTACTCTATGGTGTTGATCGCTTATCATTTTAAAAACAGCTATACTTGTGAGGTGATTTAGATCAATTTGGCTAATTGGATTTAACATTGTTTCCTTCTATTTTTAAATAACCCCAAGTACAAAGTTGCATGTCATTTTTGTGAAGCAGTATTGATTTGCCAGTATAGTCAGCTACTGGACTCTAAAAGATCTGTCACTGGCAATGCCAAGCATGCTCCATATCGCTGAAGATGCCGATTGGTGGTGAAACATGTTGGATGGGGCCTAGCCAATGATGTCACACCCACACTGACACTCATAGCTTTGGCATCTGTTATATGTGCTCCTATATGCTTCAGTTTGTGAGTATATGTCTATTTTTTTAAAATTGTTTTTACTGTATGTTATAACACCATTGCAGCCTTTTGATCTTCTCCTCTGGAGGGTTTATTTTTCAACTACATTCCTGCTGAGTTTTGACATAACATACAGAGGAGGTGTTGAGAGTATCTGACTACGAAGATGAGTGCCATGAGTGAGCACAAAAACATGTATTGATCTCTGGACGTGAGATCAATATTTTTGGTAAGAGGCTGAATATTTATTTGGTGAGGGAATCACGGGTGAACGCCAATTGCTTTCAAGATTGAGTTTATTCACTGAAGATATATTTTTGATTGGACACTTGTTTACTATTTATATGGTGGACTTTTTCATATGGAGGATTGAATATTTCTTCACTTTTCATATGGTGGATTGCACTTATTTATATAGTTTGTTTAATTCTTTTTTATATATGAGGTACCATTTGTACACATTAAACTGGTATATACGGAGAGATGCACACTAAGTGTATGATTATATCACTGTAAAGTTATTATTCATCTTTTTTTGGTAGAAGGACTCTCTTTATTTATCACACTAAGCACAAATATTTTTTTTATGTTGTATTTCCTATATTCCAGCTGATCACTTAGCAGCAAAGTTCGCAATCCCATGCATCACTATTGGTGTTCCTATACTTTGGCTCTCGCCCAGCTCCTGGATGTTGCTGGGTTGTGGCTACACCTCCTGGATAGTGTGCAGCATCAATACAGATCACCATGCAGCTGCACCCTGAAAAAGTCAGGTGGCGAAACGCTGCATCAGGGTGCAACTGCATGGCAATCTGTATTGATGTTACACACTATCCAGGAGGTGTAGCCACAACTCAGCAATGTCCAGGAGCTGGGCGAGAGGAGTGGTGCATTCTAAGTCATTCACGCAGAGCATTCGCATGTGAGGCAGATCTTTTTGGAACCACCAGATCATTATTCTAATAGTGTATGGGAAGATTCTTCAGAGTGGTGCATTCTGAGTGATTTATAGCGAGCATTCACATGTGAGGCAGTTTTTTTGGTGAGTGAGACTCACATAGGTTGTGCATGAGAAGCAATTGTTCACAGCGTGGGATAATTTTATCATTTTCCTGCATGATTGAAACACGGTTATTCATTTATTCATAATAGGTATGGGACTTTTGCATGGACTTTCTTATGAACCTTATGGTTTTGTATTGTATTGTATATTCAGTATTGCTCTAGTGCCTTCGCAAATCTGTTAACATTATTCAATTTCTTTTGAATTACCTATGTGTTTATAAAGGAGGCAGCAGGACCTTTTTCACAGTTATAGACTAATTGGTTAATTATTTGTTCAACACTATATGTTATTATTGATTCAGGTGTATATTCATGTTAATTTCCACAGAGCGGTGTTATTAGACGTATATACTTTCTAGCAGTGTATATGATTTGCATTTGGGAAAGTCCATTCATTCCAAAACTAAAATCAAATGTTAAAGCGAACAAAATGTTAACTAGTTGCCGACCGCAGATAGCCGAATGACGGCTGCACTGTGGCCGGCCAGTTCTGGGTGGACGTCATATGACGGCCTCCCAGAACGTGCTCTCCTGCGCGACCCAGGGGGCGCGCACCCGGCGATCTCCGTGATCGCTGTGTCCTACAGACACAGCTGATCACGTGATGTGGTAAAAGGCCAATCACAGCGGCCTTTTACCACGTGATCAGCGGTGTCCAATGACACGCTGATCACAGGGAAATGCAATTGCCAGTTCTCAGCTGCACTTTCCTCACGCTGTCAGATCGTGAGGAAAGTACTGCCGAGAACCGACAGTTGTCAGAGCGAGGATCGGCCCGATCATCAGGGCACTGATGATCAGTGCCCTGATGATCGGTGCCCAGCAGTGCCACCCACAAGTTCCGCCCACCTGTGCCCAGCAGTGCGCCCACTAGCTCCCCACCTGTGCCCAGCAATGCACCCACCTGTGCCAGTCTGCAGTGTCACACACCTGTGCTCAGAAGTGCCACCTACCTGTGCCCAGAAGTGCCACCCACTTGTGCCCACCCACCTGTGCCCACCAGTGCCACCCACCTGTGCCCACCCACCAGTGCTGCCCACCAGTGCCACCCACCAGTGCAGCCCAGCAGTGCTGCCAGTCAGTGCCACCAGTCAGTGCCCAGCGGTTGTGCCAGTCAGTGCCGCCAGTCAGTGCCCAGCAGTGATGCCAGTCAGTGCCGTCTATCAGTACCCATCATCAGTGTCGCCTATCCGTGACACCTCATTAGTGCTGCCTATCAGTGCCGCCTATCCGTGCCACCTCATTAGTACTGCCTATCAATGCCCTTTAGTGCTGCCTATCAGTGCCCATCAGTGCCGCCTATCAGTGCCCATCAGTGCTGCCTCATCAACGCACATCAGTGAAGGAGAAAAATTACCTGTTTGAAAAATTTTATAATAGAAACAAAGAAATTTTTTTTTCAAATTTTTTGCACTTTTTTTGTTTTTAGCGCAAAAAGTAAAGCGCCCAGCAGCGATTAAATACCACCAAAAGAAAGCTCTATTTGTGAGAAAAAAATTATCAAAATTTCATATGGGTACAATGTTGCATGACCGCGCAATTGTCAATCAAAGTGCAGCAGCGCTGAAAGCTGAAAATTGGCCTGGTAAATAAGGGGGTATAAGTGCCTGGTAGGCAAGTGGTTAAAGTACTTTTGAATAGCATCCAAGAGGTCATCAAATGTACTGAGAATTTTCACACAAAGGTTTGTGCAAATTTCCATACAAAAATTAATTTGAAAATCTACAAGCATATAGCCAGGACAAGGGAACCAATATTCATTATATTTATGCGTTTGGCAAGAATTATTTCATTAATGGGGCTGGTTTCAGGAAAGGTTGGCTTTTTTTCTTGCCTCCCACCTACTATATAAGGAAATGACGGGAGGACGTCACATGACGTCCTTCCACTCTAGCTGCACATGCGGCGCACCAGTCAGTGTGGGACACAGCGGATCACCGATCACTGTAAAGAGCCAATGACGTAGGCTTTTCATTTGATCAGCTGTGTCCATTCACGGCTGATCGCATATTAATTGGAAATGCCAGTCCTCTCCTCACACTGACAGTGCGTGAGGAGAGGAGAGCCGGTAAGTGGCATTCTTTAGAGAGGACATGTACACTTATCATCAGGGCACTGATCATCAGTGCCCTGATGATCAGTCTAGCCCCATCAGTGCCACCTGTCAGTGCCCATAATTGCCATCTGTCAGTGCCCATCAATGCCACATAGCAGTGCCTATCAGTGCACATCAATGTCACATATCAGTGCACATCATTGTCACATATCAGTGCCCATCAGAGATGTCTTTCAGTGCAGCCTATCAGTGGCAGTCAGTGCTGCCTATCAGTGCCAGTCAGTGCCACCTATCAGTGCCTGTCAGTGCCGCCTAACAGTTCCACTCAATGCCACCTATCAGTGCCACCCATCAGTGCCATATATGAGTGCTGCCTTTTAGTGCCCATCAGTGATGCCTGTCAATGCCCACCAGTGATGCATTTAGACCAATCAATTCCGCCTATCAGTGCCTCCTCATTAGTGCAGCCTATCAGTGCCCATCACTGCAGCCTCATTAGCACACATCTGTGAAAGAGAATAATTACTTATGTACAAAATTTTGTTACCGGAACCTTTTTTTTTTCAAAATTTTCTGTCTTTTTTTAGTTTGTTTAGCAAAAAATTAAAAAACTCAGTGGTGATTAAATACCACCAAATGAATGCTCTGTCTCAAAAAATGCTAAAAAATTGTTTTGGGTACAGTGTTGCATGATCACGCAATTGTCATGCAAAGTTGAAAATTGGCCTGGGCAGGAAAGGGGTAAAAGTGCCCAGTAGGCAAGTGGTTAATCTCTAAAATTACTAATATCAATTTTTCCCACAATTAATAGTTATAATTTCATGACTAAATGGAGCATGACTATCCCTCCAATCCATCAGAAGTACCTGCTGGGGTGAAGAACTAGAGTACTACATTTTCCAGTTGTCAATGATGCAGGAAAGTGTGGTGAGTCCCTACTTGGAAGACTCACCCTCTATATTTGCCCTGGTGACTGTTGTCACTGTGGAAAGAAGTGATGAGTTTTGATATTTTAGAGTTGTCACCATAGCAAACGTTGAGAAGTAATCATCCAAAGGGAACAATGTTCTGGTGACAAATGTCTAAGATAGGGAGATTTTCTCTCATTTCCTGTTGCATCTCCAGGATCAGAAGTGAAGAAAAATATCCTCAACAAGACAATGGCAGCAAAAAAATAACTTTTAGCCCTTTGGATATACTGTATATCTATATACACTTTAACACTGATCATGTATGGTTGGTTTTAACTGCTGATTGCTACCAATTGTCATGGGTTGATGAAAATGGTTTGCATTTATTAGTTGAATAACACACCCAGAACTGTATTAAAGCAATACATGCATTTAAGATAGAAAGGTATTTTGTGGTATTTGTACTAAGTGCATGCTTATAATGTGGTGAGGGCATCTCCATATTCAACCATAAATGATTGGAGTTTATGGTGTGACAGTGTAGTAGCAACTTTGGGAATACCAGGAAAACTCCGGACACAAACTTGAGGAAAACAAGCTGTTTATTAATTAGTGACCCAGCCTGGGCTCATGCCTGCAGGCTAAGTAAGTTGTAACAACATCTTACATGTGTATATACCAATGATTACGTCACAATGCATATATTTCCTCTTAACGTTTCTTGTAAGCAGTATACAGGATATAGCCTTTTGCAGTTTAAAATTTTTCTGAACTATCACCAACTGAAAGTACAGTAGCTGCTAAACTAGGACAGACTGTTTCACAGGAAATGAGGGGGAGAAAGCAAACTGATAGCTTAGTTCTGCAAACAAAAGCTTTAGAAACCCTAGAGCTTAAAGGGGAACTATGCAATATTTGGGTGCTGCCACAACAGTGATGGGCCCTGCCACTGTGAAAAAAAGAGGTAAAAAGCACACAGGGTTCTTGCAAATACAGAAGAGGAGTTCCAGAATGACTTTCAGAGAAAATTGATTTTTCAGTTTTTTGCAATTCCCGGATTTGGGTTCTGGAGTTTGGAGGCTTCAACAAGTCTTGAGAGGGATGAAGCTTCTATCAGAGTGAGTGTGCATGTATGTACACACGCTATAATCAAGAGTATAGCAATAGTTCAGGGCTCCACCCGGGAGACAGTAGTCCTCCTGCCCAGAAGCCAAGGAGTGGGCCAGTGCAGCAGGTGCACATCTGGACTGACCAGGCTGAAACCTGGAGTTACAGTGGCTGCAGAACCATAATGCCATTACCGTTGTGTTCTGGATTGAGAGGCTGCATCCAAGCCTGAGAGCTATGTTTTTGCTTTGAATGCTGTATGAAGTTCAGAGGTTTCAACGAGCCTTGGAACTCCTGTGTGGGAATACTGATGCAAGGAACTTATTTTTAAATAAAAGTGGGTCAATAAGCCCTAAAACCATATTTCCTGGCTGAACTGAAGTCACTGGTAAGCACTACACTTGAGTGAAACCCCTATAATATTACAAAAGATACTCCATAATAGACCATCCAGCAAAACAAAAGGAAGTACTCACCATTCACTTTATCTTTGCTTTTCTCTAGGATGTGAATTCTGATACAAGCCTCATTTAGTGTGTGTTACAGCTGATGGAAGGAAATAATCCAGACTGAAATGTTTTCTTCCTTGCATTCATATCCTGTAAGAGTAGGATTTATAGTCGCTGTGGTACTGTACAAATCTCCCCTCGGCATCTAAAGAACTAAAAGAAACGTGTTTTTTTATGCAGTTCAGCTTTAGTCCAATATTGATGTCCATTGATATTTTCTTATGGTCACTAGCATATGAACTATGGGATGATATGCATGTTATGTGACAAAGAATCTGTGAACCCAACATTTCATATTCCTGACATGTGCCTGCTGTACCATGTACACATTGTCATTTTTCCTACCTGTTCATAGCAATTTGTGCATAACTGTTACTGTAACATAAATAACAGTTTTGCCTTGAATCCTTCTTCATTAGTTGAATTTCATTTTCTAATATCTGTTACGTGAGTCTGGCTTATTCTAGTTTATTCATTTTTATAAAATCTGCAGCTTATCCTTTTGAGGGAAACAAATATGCTTAAAGAGAAAATGACCTATTTAAAGTGTATTTATTGCCCAAACAATTTTTTTTTCGTTTTACATAGAATAGGTAAACATTTGAAGATCTACCAGGTGTAATATATTGCAGCTTACTTGTCCTTAAAGCAGTAGTACTGTAAACCGCAAGAAAAAAAAGTTCCCTGTAAGGCAATGTCATAATGTGCTAATATGCATCTCATACTAGCGCATGATGTAAAACTTACCTTAAAATGAAACCCTCCAGCGGCGCGCTGTCACCGCTGCAGAGGCATCCATCTTCACCCGGTCCTTCTTCACCTGGTCCGTGATCTATGGCTGTCTGACAGGCTGGTCCCCGAGGACATCACTCCCACGCATGCGCGCAGGAGTCCAGGGCCATGCCACACAGCTCTGAAGGAACAGCACGGGTATGCCATTCCTTCAGAGCACATGCACCGGCTTTAGAGATATTCATCTTACCTACAGGTAAGCTTTATTATAAGCATACCTGTAGGTAAAATAAAAAAAAAAAAAACGAGTTTACTAACACTTTAATTGTGGTGGCTGCACTAGTTTTCTTTTGTTAAGCTTTTTCCTTCTGTTTTCACCTGGTGATCTGGCCAGTAACACACCTCATGTATTAGAGTGGCCCCACTATGGAAGTAGGAGCAACAGAAACCTTAGGGCAGACGCATTGTTAATCTGGGGGGTGGGGAGTGTTAGGTGTACTAAAAGAGTTAGACACACTAAAAAATGGAAGCCAAGCTCCAACTAACACTTTTTAAGCAGTTTTACCTAAATAAATAAAAAACTGATCATGGTAAGCACCCCTGTCTGTGGTAAATGATTTGTCTCAAGCCTCTGACTGCTGCATCTGCAAGACAGATTATTCTGTAGAAAAAAACAACAGACTTACTGGCCAGATTGCCAGGTGATATAAAGGAAAGAAAGCCTAAAACAAAAAACCTAATGCAGCCACCACATCTTAGCAATGTCAGTTTAATAAATGTTTGCTTTTAGTTTTAATACCTGTTTTATCAGAACCCTGTTTTTGTAATTATTATTGTTTAATAAATGTAGATTTGATATCTAAAGCATTTGTATGTTTACCATTGTTACGCAGACTGTGTGAAACACACCATAAGATGACTGCAGAGCACTAAAGTCTATTGTATTTTCTCCAGAACAGAAGCAACAAGGGCTTTTTAACCACTTGCCCTCCAGAGGTTTTACCCCCCTTTCTGACCAGGCCCTTTTTTGCGATACGGCGTTGCCTTACTTTAACTTTAATATTTATGTTATATTGTAAAGCACTGAGCAAACTGTTGGCGCTATATAAATCCTGTATAATAATAATAATAATAAAAAAATAATTGACAATTGCACAATTATGCAGCGCTCCACCAAATAAAATTTACGTCCTTTTTTTCCCCACAAATGAAGCTTTCTTTCTATGGTATTTGATCACCTCTACGGTTTTTATTTTTTGCACTATAAACAAAAGAAGATTGACAATTTTGAAAAAAAAAAAACTGTATTTTTTACTTTTTGCTATTAAACACCCAGTAAGAAAATTGAAAAAAATCTAAAAGTTTGCCATGAATTTGGGCCAAAATGCATTCTGCTACATGTCTTTGCTAAAAAAAAATCCCAATACATGTAAATGAATTGGTTTACGGGAAAGTTATAGTGTCTACAAATGGCAGTATATATACTGGAATTTTTTTTTCACTAGTAGTGGCGGCGATCAGCGACTTATAGTGGGACTGTGGGACTGCAGCAGGCACTCGGACACTGGGGGGAGACTGACTGTCACTGACACCAATACAGTGATCAGTGCTAGTAAAAAGCACTGACACTGTACTAATTACACTGGGCAGGAAGGGGTTAACATCTGGGGCAATCAAAGGGTTAACTGTGTGATGTTTCACTATGTGGGCTGTGTGTGTTCTTCACTATACGCACACTGCTTTGTATGGCTCTGCTATGCAGAGCCATACAAAGTAGTGTGCAGGAGCTGACAGGGGAGAGATCTGTATTGTTTACATACAGGTCTCTGCCCTGTTGGTGATACTCGGAGATTGCTGGGTGCTGGTGGGGAATCACTGGGTGGGCCCCAGTAATTGACAGCCAAGGCTGTGAATGGCGGCACAGGTAGGGTGCACCTGCGATGTGTGCATGCCCCCTACCTTGAAATGCGAAATCATGTATATATACATGATTTTGCGCAGTCATGCCACCCTGTAGCAGTATTTTTGCTTTAGGGCAGTGCAGAAGTGGTTAAAGTTTTACTAAACCCAGGACCCTGCATTTACTATATCTGGTCTCCCACAGTACACAGAACGTAGACATACAATTATTTTAGTAAATATAAACTGCTAAATACCTTTACTCATCAGCAGTTGGAGCAATCTTGTGATTTCTATCCGTGTTCAGCCGAGCACTGGTTAAAGCTTGTAGGAGGAGTTTTCTTTAGGTTGCAGGACCCCTGACCTCTGTCTGGACAGTGCTGATTGGTCCTGTGCTGATCACATGCACTGTCCCAAGAAACAAAAACCTCTCTAGCAATACACACCAAATTGAGCATGTGCAGTGTCTACACATGATATCTCTTTTCAGGAGATAAGAGGTAGACCCTGGAAAAAGGGGAGGATCAGAGAAGTCAGGATTGAACAGCATGTTTACACAATGCAGAGGATTAACCCCTTAGGTTCCACAATGAGTATACCAAGCATTTTTTACTGTATATATAGACTGATTTTACTGTTGTAGGTTTAATAACACTTTAAGTATTTGAAGATATGGGGGGTGGTACTTGAAGGACATTTAAGTTCTGGGTTCTCTTAATGTCTTTTTATTTAATAGCTTAGACACACACCTGAATGAATTGTTGTATGGTGTTTTCGGCTGTCCTCGGTACGGACATTTTTCAGTTTTTCAGAGCTTCCACAGTGTTTTGCTGCAGCTCGTTTTATTGTCTTGTGAGAACATTGTGTATATTCTGATGTTTTTCTTTAGCATTATATTCATTAGCAATTATAGTTTTACACAATAAAGAAGCATTGACAAGTCTTTACATGCCAATTGACACTTTTCATTTCCATCAAATTTGTATCCCTACCAAAATTAACTGTAAATAAATGTTGTTGAAAATATTCTTTATTCGAGAGCTTTGACTAATTAGTGTTCAGTATCTCAAATCAGTTTGCTTCCTGCTGCTCGGCTCTATGTGATGTTGCACATTTAACGTGTTACCCTGTTGCTTTTTGTCTTGTAAACAAGCTGGAGTGATTGACTTGAATAGTTTTTAAGAATTGTGTGGAGATGAAATTGCAGGAAATTCACTGGGATTCTTTGGAGTATTCACTCCATCTGCTGAAGTAACGGGAAAGTTTTGTAAGCATAGCAAAAGTGCGAATTAGAATTGAACTCGTGGAGTCAATCTGGCTGCTCTGTGTGTCACCAATCAAGCTGTTTTAAAGTATCTGTTCAAACCAACTCTGAACTTTTGTGAAGAAAAGAAGAAACCTCAGAGGTTAAAAAAATGAAGAAGTTAAGAAATAATTTAAAATGATATCAGCGCTTTAATATAGATCTCAGACATCTCAATTAATGGGACTATGGGATAATCAAAGTATTTTTCTCTCTTACCCATGCTATGGCTGCTGTTTTTCAGCTGCTATATAGCCACCCGCTGGCCATTGATTAAAATAATATATATATACTGTCTGACCTTTGTTTATATCTCGGTCTGAAATAAAATGTTTTTTACTTTGTTGCAACCAAAGATTTTAAAGTGGAAAATTAAGTCCTGCTAGACCACTGTAGGCTGGCCCCTTTTCAGGTATAGCTATGTAAAACATTAACTGCTTTCCCGCAACCTTATAGCAGAAATACTGCTACAGGGTGGCAGGACTGCACAAAATCACGTGTATATATATATGTGTGTGATTTTGTATTTCTGGGTAGCCTCAGCTGTCAATCACCGGGTCCTGGCCAGTGATTCCCTGCCATCACCCGGCGATCGCCGAGTATCATTGACGGGGGAGAGACCTGTATGTAAACAATACAGATCTCTCCCCTGTCAGCTCCTGCACACTGCTTTGTATTGCTGTGCATAGCAGTGCAATACAAAGCAATGTGCTGACTTAGTGAAACACACACACACAGCACACAGTAAAATAGCACATGGCACACAGTTAAACCTTTGATCGCCCCAGGTGTTAACCCCTTCCTGCCCAGTGTCAGTGCTTTTTATTACCACTGATCACTGTTTTAGTGTCACTGGGGATGTCAGTGACAGTTAGTCAGTTCCCCCCCAGTGTCAGAATGCCCGCCACAGTTCCACTATAAATCGCTGATTGCTGCCATTACTAGTATATATATATATATATATATATATATATATATATATATATAAATCCAGTATATACTATATACCACCATTTGTAAATGCCCTAACTTTCACATATACAAATTAATTTACACATACTGGGATTTTTTTTAGCAAAGGCATATGTAGCAGAATACATTTTGGCCTAAATTTATGCAGAAATTTGATTTTTTAAATGTTTTTACTGGACATGTTTAATGGCAAAAAGTCAAAAATATTGTTTTTTTCTCAAAATTGTCGGCCTTTTTTTGTTTATAGGGCAAGAAGTAAAAAATGTGCAGGCAAGCAAATGCCACCTAAAGAAAGCTCCATTTTTGGGAAAAAAGGACATAAATTTAATTTGGGTGCAGTGTTGCATGACCGTGCAATTGTCAGTTAAAGTAATGCAGCGCCTTATCGCAAAAAATGGCCTGGCCAGGAAAGGGGGTAAAACCTCTGGAGGGCATGTGGTTAAAAAGACCTTGTTGCTTCTGTTCTGGAGAAAATACAATAGACTTTAGTGCTCTGCAGTCACTCCTTTGGTGTGTTTCACACAGTCTGCGTAACAATGGTAAACATACAAATGTATCGCAAAAAATGGCCTGGTCAGGAAGGGAGTAAATCCTCTGGAGGGCAAGTGGTTAAAAAAAGTGCCTATACTGTTTAAAATCCACTAACACGTCTCACCCTGCTTTGCAAATGCTAAGTTGCTCATTATTTTTGGCACTATGCTGAAAATTAAGAGACAGATCTGCTGACAACCTAAAAATTTACTGCTGCTCAGGAGCTCTGGGCTTCAGTAAAATGGCAGCCTCCAGCAAGAAGAAACAGGAGCAATACTGGAGGCAATGTACAGCACACACTGTGGAATGTATGTTCCGTGAACATGAACATTATTTTAAATAGATTTTTAAAAACTGAAGGAGAACCTTGCAAGTCAATACTTACAAGCTATCCCTAAAATGAAAACAAAATATGGGAAAACCATTAAAGGGATAGTTCACCCTTTCACAAAATATGAAAAGGTGAACAAAACTTGGCCATACTTGGATTGAAATTCAGCTGGTTAAGCAGCAACCAGCTGAATTTTGATCGATGTGTGGCCTCTTCAGTTAAACAGACGTTGATCTACTGAGTGACTCCTGTTAGATAAAAGCCACTCGGTTTGGGTTGACTTTGGTCTTCATGCCATATGTCACAAAATATCGAACTCAGATTAATAAATAAATCTATTCTTTCCTCTAGAATCTTCTAAGTGAAAAGGTAGAGCAGATGATGGAATGGAGCTCTCTCGCCGATCAGTCATCCGTATGAATGGAGACAAGTTCAGGAGATTTGTGAAGGCACCACCCCGTAACTATTCTGTGATTGTGATGTTCACTGCGCTGCAGCCTCAAAGACAGTGTTCTGTATGCAGGCAAGTATTTCTGAACATTATTTATGTATTTATCTTTAGACTGTATGTGAACTTTTTCCTGTCTGGTTGGGCAGGAGATCTGATTTTTTTTTTCAATGTTTTTTACTGCACTTTAAGAATTTGTCACATCAACACTTCATATTCCGAATATGTGTCTGTTTTACCATGTACATGTATTAAAAGTATCCTGTTCTCTTTGCATTGGTTCCTTTGTGGGAAATACCTGGTGGCCCTGCCAGTCTCTCTGCTTCCTATTTCAAACTGACCATGCTAGCCATGGGAGCATATCCACCAATGTAATCAGTTTTCTGTCTGTATTTGTAAGGTTATCACAGTATTAAAGAACTGTCATCCCAGAGCAGCTGTCAGACAGCCGAGAGCCAGTGTCGAGAGTGGAGCGTTATTTTTGTTTGTGTGTGTGCCATATTTTTTTCATTTTGACATGGGAGTTCCTCTCAAAATTCATACCAGATCCGAAGGGCTTGGTATGGATGGGGGGGAGAACCCACATATTTTTTTCTTTCAATGTTTTAACTGCCAGGCAATGCCGACAGTTCTTTTTACATTCAGCTGTCAGCAGGGAACCCGGTTCGAAGTTCATGGTTGAACTTTCGTTAGGTTTGGGTGTCTAACCACAAACTGAACAGGGGTGTGTTTGGCCCACCACTAGTTACAATGGTAGTTAATCATGGTAACTATAATGGTAATTACATTGTGTGTATGTATATACAGTTGCAAGAAAAAGTATGTGAACCCTTTGGGATTACGTGGAGTTTTGCATGAATTGGGCATAAAATGTGCTCTGAACGTCATCTAAGTCACACCAATAGGAGAACACAGTCTGCTGAACATAATACTACACAAACATTAGATGTTGCCATGGTTTAATTGCACATAACATGTAAACATTCACAGTGCAGGGAGGAAAAAGTATGTGAGGCCCTAGCTTAATGACTTCTCCCAGAGCTCATTGGAGCCAGGAGTGAGCCAACCTTGACTCCAATCAGTGTGATGATATTGGATGTGTTGCTGACAGCTGTCCTGCCCTTAAAAAACACACACCTGTTTTGGGTTTACTGGTTTCAAGAAGCACTGTCTGATGTGAACCATGCCTCGCAGAAAAGAGCTCTCAGAAGACCTACGATCAAGAATTGTTGACTTGCATGAAGCTGGAAAGGGTTACAAAAGTATCTCCAAAAGCCTTGATGTTCATGTGTCCACGGTAAGACAGACTGTCTACAAATGGAGAAAGTTTAGCTCTGTTGCTACTCTCCCTAGGCGAGGTCGTCCTGTAAAAATGACTACAAGAGCACAGCGTAGAATGCTGCGTGAGGTAAAGAAGAATCCCAGAGTGTCAGCTAAAGACCTACAGAAATCTCTGGCACATGCTAACATTTTTGTTGACACATCTACAATAAGGAAAACATTAAACAAGAATGGAGTACATGGGAGGACACCACGGAGGAAGCCATTGCTGTCCAAAAAGAATATTGCAGCACGTTTGAAGTTTGCAAAAGAGCACCTGGATGTTCCACAGCACTACTGGCAAAATATACTGTGGACAGATGAAACCAAGATTGAGTTGTTTGGGAAGAACACACAACACTATGTGTGGAGAAAAAAAGGCACAGCACACCAACATCAAAACCTCATCCCCACTGTAAAACATGACGGAGGGAGCATCATGGTTTGGGGCTGCTTTGCTGCCTCAGGGCCTAGTTGTCGTTGATGGGAAAATGAATTCCAGAGTTTATCAAGACATTTTGCAGGAAAACGTACGACCATCTGTCCGCCAACTGAAGCTCCGCAGAGGATGGGTGATGCAACAGGACAATGACCCAAAGCATACAAGTAATTCAACAAAACAATGGCTGCAACAGCACAGAATACGCCTTCTGGAGTGGCCCAGTCAGAGTCCTGACCTCAACCCGATTGAAATGCTGTGGCATGACCTTAAGAGAGCGATTAACACCAGACATCCCAAGAATATTGCTACACTGAAACAGTTTTGTGAAGAGGAGTGGTCCAAAATTACTTCAGATCGTTGTGCAGGTCTGATCTGCAACTACAGGAAACGTTTGGTTGAGGTTATTGCTGCCAAAGGAGGGTCAACCAGTTATTAAGTCCAAAGGTTCACATACTTTTTTCCTCCCTGCACTGTGAATGTTTACATGTTATGTGCAATTAAACCATGGCAACATCTAATGTTTGTGTAGTATTATGTTCAGCAGACTGTGTTCTTCTATTGTTGTGACTTAGATGACGTTCAGAGCACATTTTATGCCCAATTCATGCAAAACTCCACGTAATCCCAAGGGGTTCACATACTTTTTCTTGCAACTGTATATATATATATATATATATATATATATCCTTGGTAGCTGAATACTGCAGCATACCTGATTGGCTACTTGTGTTGCTTCCACCCCTCCTAATCTGAGATCAGCTGTTCAGTGGCCTGCAAAATGCTAATACCAGGTCAAATTAAGGTACTCACACTGCTTGCAGAAAAAAATAAAATAACTGTAATGATCTTCATGCACAGAATTGTATTAATTTTTACCTTCTATATGTGCCTGGTGCTTATCTTTATATTACTATGAAACTTATTAATATGAATGTTATTATTCTTTAAAAAATATTACATCATATTTAAGATTTTTCTAGAACAGGAAATGCGCAATAAGTAATTCACATTAATTTAGGACATTCAGTGAGGCAAATTACCCATAACATGAATAACTCTACTTTGATAATGTACTTGTCAAAAGTAGTCTGGTACAAGGATTAAAAATAGACAGTATACTGAGGAGGTAAAAAAGCAGATGGCAATATATGATCAACCCGGTGCATCATGTTTAGAATTACGGTACCTAAAACAGATATGTAATGACATGTTTATAATCGCCAGCATTATATACTTTATGTAATTGCTTCTAGCTATACAGGTAACCCTTAAAATAATGATATAGTCACTGCATCAAGAAACAAATGCTGAGATTTCACAGCCAATGGCAGGTTTTACACTTAGACCAGATAATGGTCTTCCAGCAAGGTCTCTCAGCAAGATATTCAATGCAATTAAGGGGAACTGTTGTCACCATTACAGCAAAAAAGTAGAGTGATGTTTGTGATACTTTTTTTAATTTGCACTGACATCCAAATTTTCAGAACAGACTTTCAGGGTGTACCCCCTTCTTCAAGTTCTAAGCAGCACTAATACAGAAAGCTTTAGCAGAATTTTAATAAGACATTGTCTGAGGGAAACTGTGTGTATGTGTGTGTGTGCAGCTCTGCATAGAAACCACCCAGCTTCCAGGTTTAATTGTCAAAGCTTAATTGAACAAGCTGAAGTTGAAGCTGATTGGCTACTATGCACAGTTGTACTAGATTGTGAGTTTTAGTAAATATCCCTCTTTTGTGTATTAGTACTTCTTGAACCTTGAAGAAAAGGGTGAACCCTGAAAGCTTGTTGTGAAAATATGGACATTAGTGCAAATAAAAAAAAAGTATCACAGACAGCTACAATGATCTCAAGCAAAAAGTTTAAACCATAAAGAAGCACCCCATCACTCAACAGAATGTTCCTTTTCTACGAAGTAAATGTAGAAAAAGAATGGTACACAGTACCTTTTGCTTCACATGCTTTTTGTCAGGAATTTACCTATGCTCATTGTGTCCACCTGTTGGTTTTGCTGCTGTTCCTTCTGTACCCTTCGGGCCTACTGTCTGCTTCTTGCAGGCATGTCTGGCTCACTGCACTTATTGTCTCTTTCCTGTGTTCTGGTGCGAGTGGACCTGCCCCATTTACCTGTTCAGGTGGGCTTTGAACATGCATGGTTGAGGCTAAAGCCACATTTCCTGTTGGCTCTATATTCCTTTAAACTAACAAAAAAAATCCAATCTTGTTACACAGCGTTCGGCTATGGGATTTTTCTGATATTTTATCTATCCTGTATCTCAGTCTCAGCTCTTGTCATCCTGACCCTGATTTGTTTCTAGTTTGTATTCCCTTTACTCTTGTCTCAGTTTGTTTTCACATCTGACTCCTACCTTGTTCTAGTTCCTGTTACCTGCCATACCTCTTATTTCTAGATTTCAACACTTGCTTGACCTGACCTTTCCAGAATGCCTCCTGCCCTGGTTTGGCTTTGTTTACGACTTCATCCCCACTCCCAACTCTTGTTATCCATTATGACCCATGGATTTTTACCTCAATTACTCATGTTAGGGTGCAATAATTTGGTGTTCCAATATCTAGCACTCAAGTCCTCTGGGCACCAAGTACCAGTTCTGCACACAAAGCATTCTTGAATGGCATCTCCTAAAGGTGAGACATGCAGCATCAGCGGTCATCAGTCTTGACAGTGCCACCTCTTTTCTTTAGTCTGCTCTCTCTGTGCATTTCCTTTGGATCTCAGGTATAGTGGTTACTCTCAGCCAATTGCATTCATTTACAGGAGTAAGCAGCAGTAAACAAAATAATATCCACCCTGTATCCTTTGAGAACATTTTTCAGACACAGCTTTACTATTCACAAATGGAAATTGTAGAAACCGGCTTATCTATTCAGATGACCATGTCGTCCAGGTACACTGACAGTCAGTTCGGTCAGTGGTACAAGATAATCTGGTACGCTGCTTACAGTCTTCCAGCATGATATGGTTCAAGTACGCAGCGAAATGGAGGACCGTAAGCTGCATTCTGCCATATAGGGTGGAACAATGGCTTACATAGTGATGGACTAGTGGACTAGTGATCCAAGCAAATCTTTAAGGATGCGCATAGATGGGCTAAAGCTTTAAAGTGAACCAGTGGAAAGCATTGCACCTTACCTCCTGATTTTACTCACATTCCCTTCCTTTTGCTTCCCAAGCTCTCTGTTCATCCACTGTAAACAAATATGGGAAGTCCTACAGGACTTGGAGCTTACACATCGCTTGGGACTCTCTACCCCCATGGAAAGTGTTTGGTGCCTAAGTGAATATCATAATAAGTTCTGGAGTGTGTTGGTATATGGTGGACCAAAAGATCCTGAGGATCGGACAGGGGTTTCTAGTACAACTCAGATTTTTCACCGAAAAACATAAGTGGGAGGCGGGAGAGCCCTTATAGTGTAGTGGATTCATTCAAAAACTAGAATGCAGTGCTTCCACAATAAAAGGAAAAAAGGTCAAAATGTACTTATAACTATTGAGGCTGCAATCACCCAGCTAAGGGGATAAATAAAAAAATTTTCCCTAGTGGATCTCACTACCAGTAGATGCTAGACATCAATTGTATTACCTTGAAATGAGTAAGTGGCAATTTAAAGCCACAAAACGTGTTTTATTTAATGAAATAAAGTAATTGGGTGCCTTACTAAAGCAGACAACCATGCCAATCCTTTGAACAACACATCAGATGCTTCTGCCAATCAAACTACCTAAGGGCCCTTTTTGTGCTGACTCTTTTTACCAAGTGAATAACATGATCATCCTCTTTTGGAAGTACCAGGCATTCTTCAATGCTTCCAGTACCCAAATGGAATGAAGGGAAGATAAGCCACTGGTTGGGTCATTAATTAAACAAACTGATTTTTTTGCCCTGCATGGACAAAGCACAGCTTCAATTTGCAGTATAAAACCAACACATAGGTCTATCTTGCATTGATGAGACCTAACCAGGGGCGGGCTGACCATTTGGAAACTCGGGCACTGCCTGAGGGCCCAGGGTTGGTAGGGGGCCCCATGAGATGCCCCTGGTACCTTTTTCATAGGCTTTTTTGAGTTTGGGCAAGGACACAGGGGCCCGATGATCCCCTATTGCCCGGGGGCCCCATGAGTTGTCAGTCCGCCCCTTGACCTAACATACTACATTGAGTGGTGGGCCACATATTTGGTAACATCTTTGCTATTTACTAGCAGTCCCTGACCCATAGTGGGCAGCATGATTAATACATAATTGTTTTTATATACAGTATTTGATTTTAACTCTTTATTGAGTATTAACTCTTTCCTTTCCTTCTGAAGATATAGTTACATAGTTAGTCTGGATGAAAAAAGACAAAAGTCCATCCAGTTCAACCATTAAAAAAAAGTTATAATTCTATACCCAAAAAAAACCAGCAAAGCATGATCCAACTTGCTCCTGCAGGGGAAAAACATCCTTCCTGATCCCCCCCGAGAGGCAATCAGATATTCCCTGGATCAACTTTACCTGTATAGTTTAGTATATATATGAACATCTAAAGGCAACTGCAGTAATGTTTAATGTTTACTTCAAATAGCATGCCACTTCACAAAAGGGTATTGCCACAGAAAGCAGGAAAAAACAGAATCACTACGTGATCATTGAAATGCTTACAGCAACTCTGTGTGCTCATGTCACACTATGTTAAAACTAAGCAATAATCTTCAAAGCTTACACACAGAAGCATGAATATTGTCATATATCAGATACAAGATATTATATCGACAAAGTAAAAATAGAGCAAAACAATAGGCTTTACACAAATGGGTATTTAGAAGAGAAAAGATATGATAAAGCCATAGTAGACCTCGCTACTGGTACTCTGTTCAAGGGAATGTTTCAAGCCTGCAATAAGTCTGGCTTAAGACTGCAATGTGACAGAAACCTTCAATTATACCAAGGGAATTGGATTCAGAAAGAAATGATTGCCAGGGTTTCAATTTGAACCTGGGGTGAGGCATGTAAGGAAATGTATTTACTTAAAGAGTATTGAATACATGGAATAGCTTCCAAACCGTTGATTGGTCCAAAATTAACTTTACAAATGCATCTTTATTTTATAGAAAAGACTGAAAATTAGGTAATGATGTTCTGATGCAGATTGTGAAAATGATACTCTAAAGTATACAAGGCCAGACACTACACAGTAATGCTGATTGCTAAAATTACCAGTCGGCTGCTGAGATTCCAAATACCTGACAGTTTTGAGGTCTCTGCACTGATGTTATAACATTTTACAATGTCAAGAGATGTTATGCTAAATAGCACATTGGAAGGTGACATAGCAATACATTCTACTGCAATTCTAAAAGTCTGTAGGCTAAAGAATAAGAACTCATAACATTTACATTTGAACAGAGAACTGTGCATTGTGTTGATATGTTAATGAAATGCATATTACAGTAATTCTGGGATAAAAGCGAATAAAGTACGTAAATGGCATTACTGGTATTGGTTTTTTTTTATACAGTTATACTTAAAGATTGTATCATTTCCGAAACATCTGTGTCACTCCACTGCCCTCTACAGGTTGCTGGTATACTATGCTGTTGCGATAACAAGAGTTTTAATAGCTTCAAATAAAATTACAGATATCAGAAACAATTAAAAAAAGACACTTTGGTTTAACATGTAATGCAGATTTTTTTTTCTTTAAAATAGATATAAATCTATTCACAAAAATGTTATATAATCTTTTGTAATGTAATTTCAAAAATAATTCACAATCATAAATGTTTAGCTTTCATTAAAATAATACTTAATGATCCTTCCATAAAGATCCGTGTTCATGTACTTTCTGTTCTGGAGTGACAAGGCTCTGTCATGGGGATGTTTTCACCATCAGGAAGTCCGTCCTGATCAATGACATGCAGCTGCCTTTGGAGAGCATGTAGGCAGGAAGTGGTTCCAAAGAGACTGCACAAGATCAGCAGCAATGAGATGCAAAAATGGATGAAAGGTGAAAACAATATTTACCAAAAAAAAAAACTATTTATGATGCAGTGTTTTTAGCAAACCGAAGTTTTGGTTTACATTTACTTTAAACCACTTCAATACCAGGCACTTATACCCCCTTCTTGCCCAGGCCAATTTTCAGCTTTCAGCGCTGTCACATTTTGAATGACAGTTGTGTGGTCATGCAACACTGTTTTTCTCATACAGATAGAGCTTTCTTTTGGTGGTATTTAATCACCACTGAGTTTTTTATTTTTTTGCTAAATAAAACAAAAAACACCGGAAACGTTTGGAAAAAAAAAAAAACGCACTTTTCTTCTTTCCTGTTAACAAAATTTTGCAAATAAATAACATTTTTTCATAAATGTAGGTCAAAATGTATACTGCTACATTTCTTTGATGAAAAAATAATAAAAATAATAATAATAATTTAATTTGTTTTTTTTTTCAAATTTTTCTATTTTTATTATTATTATACAGGATTTATATAGCGCCAACAGTTTGCTCAGCACTTTACAAAATGAAGGTAGACATTACAGTTACAATACAATTTGGTACAAGAGGAAACAGAGGGCCCTGCTAGTTAGAGCTTACAATCTAGGAGAAGCTATGTTTTTATTTTTTAGTACATTATTTTTTCTTTTTTTTTACTATTTTTTTTTTTTCAACACACTATGACCAAAGCAATACAATGTTACCATAGTAACATTGCACTACTCTGGGCAAGTATTCAGGATTTTTCTTTTTTTTTTAACACTTTATGATTGCTAATATCAATGTATTTCATTGATATTTACAATCATTGTTACTGAATGAAACTGATTCATTTAGTCTTTTGTTGTGATTAGCTGTGATTGGGCAAAGCTGATCACATGATACAGATGTGCTATGAATTGCTCTGTCTGTATCATGTGAATGATTTGACCAATCACAGCTAACAATGCAATTGTATATAATGGATGGCATGGCAGGAAGCCATCTATTGTATACAATTGACATGTGATCTACTGTGATTGGTCACAGCGGTCACATGACACTGGCAACGGTCCGGTGTAGTGATATGTCATCGGCTGTGTCCCGTGGACATAGCTGGTGACAGATCGCGCCGCTGTGTGGCTCGTTTTGACAGGACATCATATGACGCCCAGTCACAACGGCGAGTATCCCACCTGGCCATCATTTTTCTATAGGCCAGGCTGGAAGGTGTTAAACACCCACTATAGCAAAAATCATGTGCTCTGAAAATGGTATGTGTTTAATACATGTAGTGATAGTATTAAAGTGGTTGTAAAGGCTCAAAGTTTTTTAAAAAGCCTTCTGTGTGCAGCAGTCCCTCCAGCTCCCCTTAATACGTACCTGAGCCCCATTGGGATCCAGTGATGTGCACAGGAGCCTCAGCTCTCTGGGGACTTTCCCTCCTCATTGACTGAGACAGCAGTGGGAGTCATTGGCTCCTGCTGCTATCAATCACAGCCAGTGATCCAATGACGGGAGACAGGGTGTGTGTGAATGGATACGCAGAACAGTGGCTCAAGAGCAAGCCTGCTTGGTGTACTCATAGCAAGCTGCTTGCTCTGGGGGCACTTGGGAGGGGCCAGGAGCTCCAGCAGGAGACCTGAGAAAAAGAGGATCGGAGCTGCTCTGTGCAAAACCACTGCACAAAGCAGGTATAACAGGTCTTTTATTTTTATTTAATTTCTCTTAATATCACTTTAAAGTGGTTTCAAACCTCAGACATGAAATATTAACCAAGTGTATTCCTCTATAGTGAGTACTTGTCTCAATTAAGAGCATTAAGTGTCATTTCTGTTTGCTGCTTCATTCCTCTGCTATCTGCATGGGCCACTTCTAACACTTTTGCCTAACACAAAAAGAAAAATGGTGACAGGGGAGAGACCTCCAGGAGATTGACAGCCTCAGCTCTCTTCCTGTGAGGTGTGTGGAGGGGGTGTGGCTTTTCCCGCTAATCCGCTCTCAAAGCTCTCCTCACTGAGCTTTGCAATGGGTAACTTCAGCTCTCCACCAACTTTTTTCTAAACTCCCAGACAAGCTTCATATGTTCAACACTTTCAACAGATATAAGGAAGAGAAGACTGCTGATAAACAGGTACAACTTATTAAGGAGGATTTGTTTCATCTCTGTGTATCACCACTTTAAATATGCTATTTAGAAAAAAAGTTCTTCCCTCTATTTATATTTGTCATCACATTTACATGCAGACCAAGTTGTCCAGCAAAAGTGTTTTGGACAAACCATATAACACTTCTGGTGTTCTTACTTTAGGTTTATATAAAAACTACTTGTCCATTTAAGATTACATTATCCACAGGGTGTCATTTCTGCTACATGATTTCACTGCAAAAAAAAACAACAACAGTGCTTTGGTCCCTTCTCACCATGACCAGTATGGTTATACTGTCTCGTTGGGTCCTACACCTTACTCCATAGAAGCTGTCGTTTCCATGCACTGAATTGATGATGGCTAAATAACCGGAAAAGGCTCTATGCAGGGAGTTCCTGGTGATGTTCCTCCTAGGGGTGGCATCCCAGGGGTGTTTTCACCACTAGGTCACATCACTATTTGCTTTTCTTGGACATGCCTTTTTGAGCAGGTCTTGTGGCTAAGGATAATTTTGATAGTGTCCGTAAGGCCTGCATTTTGTATTTAAGTAATTTTAACTTATTTTTTCACTTATTTTTTAAAAGCACTTTCACTGCACTTGTGGTTTGTTATTTTTTTTCACAGAGATTGAGGGTGCTCACAGTAATATCAAGGACATGCCATGATGTCTGAGGGGAGGTTCTTTGGCCTTTGAGTCTTGCCTCCTGTATCCGAAGGGGTCTCTTTTTATGACTTTTTATGTACTTGGTGGACCCATTAAGGCTGGTCCCTAAGATGTGGGGTCCACTTGTCTTCTGCCTAGGTAGACCATGGTGTACCTTGCCCTTTGTTAGGAGATGTGTGCCCCCACTTTTTTCTCTATGCTGTGATTTTATGGTTCCCTTTTTTGTTCACAAGGGTTTGACAAAGCACCACACTGTGGAATTCCATAAAAAAAAGCAGTATGCAGTTTGGAAAAGGCTCTATAATATTAGACTATATTTGCACTATACACCAGCACTGCTGGATGCTCATTAAGGCAATGCGGTGTCAAGCAATGATTTACATGGCTCTAC